TTCATATAATTAACCGTAATATACTTCGATTGATATCTGTCAATTTTCTACGCGTTTCGTATATAGGAAGTTCCGTAAGAGAATTCTAATTATAATTAGCGATTTGATATAGTTCGTATCGTGTCGTGTGCACGATGCTCCTGTAAAGTCCAATGACATCCTCGAAAAAATCATCCTAATCGCCGATCGCGTCGCAACGTTTAGGCTCACCGCTTCAGGTTCAAACGTGTCGTCCATCGGTGTGACCCCGTGGAACGCAGAATAACCGTTCAATATATATGTATATCCCGACAGAATGAAAGATCAGGAACCTCTCGAGCGGCCAGGAAAATATCGAAAAATAGAAAATCACATTTTACAAAATTATATACACAACCGGTCCGCGCAGCAACGTGCGCAAATGCATAGATCGTTCACGTGCAATTGGACGTTTCAGGAGCACGCTGGTCGTGTATAAAAAAAAGGATTACGTTCGATACAGCCTTAGACAGGATTGTTAAACGATGCGTCAGTGGTGTACAGTATAAAAACCGTTCTCGTTAAAGGCAAAACCGTTTTATACATTCGACGGCTGTTGTTGGGCCGGCTCGGCAGCCGCGTTAACCTCGCCGTTGCATTTACTTTGCTTCTGACTGTCGTCAGGCTTCGACGTTGCCTTGCCGTTAGTGCCTTTCGTGTCGTCTTTCTGCGCCGCGCTGTTATTAGGGGGATCTTGTCGATTGTTAGGGGATTGTTGTTGATCGTTATTGGATGATTGGTGATCGTTAGTGGGCTGACTGGCGGACTTTTGCTGGCTACTAGCGGGCTGTTGCTGATTGTTAGAAGCCGGTTGCTGGCTGTTAGAGGTCTGTTGCTGTTTGTTACACGTCTGTTGCTGATTGCTAGGATGCGGTTGCTGAACGGGAACGTTATCTGACGACGGGCAGCCCCGCGGCGACGTGGGGCTGGTTTTGTTAAGAATCGATTTAGTGACACTACTCGGCGTGGTGGGGCTACGAATACTGTCCCCGTCCATCATCCGGTGATTGTACTTCTCGAGGTTATGCAGGATCTTGCCGATCTGATTGGTCTTCGCGTGCAGCCGGCTCACCATTTCGCCTTTCTGTGTTAATTCGTGCTCACACTCCTAGAATGGAAACACGTCCAGAAACAAGGAATCGAAGAGCCCGCGGCTAACACCCTAGTGCCAGAGGAGCTCGCGAAAAAGAAGAACCTCGATCGTCGGGCTTCAAGTTTTAAACGGCGTATGGCGAGACGACGGTGCGTGGGTTTCTAACGATACAAAACGTATTATTAGGAACTGAAATACAGTAGAACCCCCTATGGCGCGATTCAAATATCGTCGAAGAATAACTATAAAAGTAAGATTCTCCATAAGAAGCTGGTACAAGCAGAGAACCGGCTTAATTCAAGTTGGATCGGTAGGTTCCGGCTGAGATGGCCAGATCTCATTTAGATTCTCATATATTTATATTTTCAATTGTTTTTAGTGGTGTATGGAATCTTACACAGAAATCTATTTAATTATTCTTCTTATCTGCATTTGCTTTCGTAAATATATTTTCTTTTGTTCGGTATTAATGATATACATGATGTAGCAGTTCTTTTAAGAAAAGCGGGCCATTTCTTCTCGGCTTACCCTATACAAAATGGTAATTTCTCGCGAAATTGGCAAACGTGAAACCCTGTAACACGGAATATGTTAATCCTGTTATAGGGGGTTCTACTGTACTGTCGCCTCGCGGAAACCCGTTGATATCGAATTCGACCAATCGAGATTGTTCCCTTGCGAGGTGTAGACAACGCAAAATGGGAGCCGTTAACGAATTCTGTAAAGCGGGTCATGTTAAAACGGAGCGGGGGAGGGGTGTACTGAAAGCGTCTCATTCGAGGTGCAATGACGGGGAAGATATGAGTCGTGCATTAAAAAAAAATCGTAATCGCAACGAGGGTACGAGCAGCGATCGATCCTTCGTGAAAGATTCTTCGCCAATGTCCCATGATCAGCGAGGAAAATTGGTTTCGACGGTGATCATTCAGAGGAAATCAGAATTTTGATATTGTTAAGGCACACCGCGTTACGATTAATCTATGAGAAGGAGTATAACACATCACCTGCAGCTTTTTGTACATCTCCAAGTTAATCAATTTGATCTCATCGAGCTGTCGCCGCAGCGATATGATCGTGTCTTGTTTCTCGTGAATGTCTTTCTCCAGTAATTTCATAGCCACCTCCATTTCCGATTTCATACTGATCTGTTTCAGAGAAAATTCGTTCGTCAGACTTCGGACCCTATCGTTGGTAACCGGGGAATTTCTATAGCGCCCCATGATGTGTACCTTAATTCTGATTTGACGTTACGTTCAATGTTAGTTTCGTTATAAAAAACAGATCAAAGATATCGTTCATTTAATACGCAACCGTACCGAATACTTGCATAAAAATATAGTGAAAATCTACGGTAGATAATATGCCGGAAAGAATCCTTCGTCTACAAAAGAATTATTGAAATAATGAATTTTTAAATTAAGATACAGTTTCTGATCCAATTCAAATTCCTTGTATCATTGTTCAGACAATACTGAATATCACGTGAAAAAATTAACTCCGAACAGGACTCTATCTTGTTCGATTGAAAGTATTCCAACAATTTCGATTCATTTTCACATAGTCAATCAATCCTTTCTAAGGACTACAAATTTATTTCCCTCAGTCCGACTATTATCTACCACCCCGTACAATAACGTGAATTTTCATGTCGCGAATCGACCGGGGGAAAAACAGCCAGAATGATCTGGTGAACGGTAATCCGGGGTACGGAGCGCTCGCTAATCTGTGGCGCGGAATATTAAAATAATTCTCGACCTGTAGTTCCAATTCTTTTTCCACGTTCTGTCGCATTTTCTTTTCGGCCTCCACTCTACTTCTCAGTTCCTCGATCTCTGCTGTCGTTTCGGTGATCTTAATCGGCGGTTTGCCGTTCTGGAACGAAAACGATTGCTGCAAATGTCAGCCACGCGGCCCTTAAACGAATATTCGTACCTCGTTAGTGTCTTTGATCTCTATCCCCAGTTCTTTCTTTAATTGCCTGTTCTCCTCGTGAAGCGACAATATATTGTTCTTAGCGATCGACAGATCCTCCTTCATTAGAGCGTTCGTGGTCGTCAGGGACTCGACTTTGGCTTGGAGGTTCGTCACGGTCGCGCTGAAATCGACGCAAAATACAGTATCACTGCTTTGGGTCGAGTCGCTTCGGGTTGCATCGTAAATGCAAATGATATTACTTTAAGTGTCGGTTCAGCTCCTCGATGTAATTCTTCTGATCGAGAACGGTGGTCATGTTGTCGTTCTCGACCTCGTCGTCCGGGGACTCGCCGGGTATGTGATTGCTGTTACGCAGATACAGCGAGAAGTCAATCACGCCCTGCTGACAATCGAGATCTTCTTCCTGTCGCAATAGTCGCAAACGGTTCTTAGCCGGTTAGAGGATCGCTCTCGGTGATCATCCTCGCATAGAACTGCAAGGATCTGAACTAACCTTCACGCAGAAGTTGCAGTCGATCACGTTCAGGCCCACCAATAAACCCATTATAACGATCGCTTCCTCGCTCATCATCAGAGCGTCCGGCTCGAAGTACTCGGACAATATGTCCTCCTTGTGATCGATCAGCACTTTTAAATAATCGGCTAGCTTTTTTTGCATCAACGCCATACGCAACCACGCTCGCGCCCTACCCATTGCGGTCCTGAAAATGTCAACGCTATCAGCCGTGCACTTCTCCCGTTGAATGTTTAAGAACCTGAATCATTTTTCTTTCCTTTCTCTTTGCCTTAGGTGAATGGCAGGATTGTTGTGGATGAAGGTTTGAAAAATGATTGCGGATGATGCAAGGATCGAAGGTATCCTTGAGAAAGAATTTTGATTTTAGAGACGGCCAATGTGTTTCTATGTTTGGGAAGTTCGTTCGTCTCAGAATGCAAGAATTTTGTTCGAACGTTTTGTTTGCTAATGTACTAGAAAATATGGGGGATGTAATTAGAATGGTTAGTTAAACTTTACGGCTGTGTATTACAGGATGTCCCGTTTACTACGAATTGAAGTTCTCCTTTATTTCCTTTATTCGTAAAGAGCAGAACTAACGAGCAAGGTATATTCAAGAATGTCCCGAGACGCGACATTTGAATGACCTTCGTCACAAGAATCTTTATTAGATTCTTACTCGCAAGCTCGGTTACCGTGCAGCTTGTTTTAATGTCACCGTTCGCCAATAGAATAGATAGATGCAACAAATATTCCAATAAAACTCTCCAAATAATGAATTAAATACTCGATTTCCAATAGCTTTTTGTACTCGAATACATCACAAGCTTGCATTATAATAATTTACACACCATTCTTCCAAAGCAGAAACTTTTATACAAACGTTTACTTCTTCGAAAAGAAGGCAACGAACTTTTAGACGAGATGCAAAGGACAGCCTGTAAATTCCCATGAAAACTCGTGCCACGAGGAATTCAATGAAGTGATCGAAATGCTATAAAAGTACTCGGTGAAATGTAACAGCGTTAAAATCTACAAAACTGCCGATTAAAGTGACATTTTAAGTTACAAAATGGCGAGAAATAATGGTGTTATACCTAACGGTAGGTAGATCACGAATGCTGGACGTAATGTCCTGCGCTTCTGAACAATATTTCTCAACGAGCTGAAGTATGTCCCACAGCTCCTTCTTGGGTCCGAGGAGACCCTGAAATCGAAGGCGGTTAATGCCGTTATTCTTTAACAGCCTACAACGTAGCCCGGATACTTGGAAGGTATAATTTACCTTCTTTGGCCGTAAACCGTGTCTGAGTACGTGCTCGAGAACGATGAAGAAATGTTGCAAGGGCATGTGATCGGAGTCGAGCATTCGACTGTATTTCAATGACGTTTCGATCAGCTCCTTGACGATCAGCTTTGAAATGTTAACGAGATTACTCCTCTCGATGATGACCGGGTCCCGTGCTGCAAAAACAATAGGTTCTTGTTCCAGGTGGAAGACTAGGCAATAAACTTCTTTCTACTCATATTAAACCATCATTGTAGTCCCATTATCGTTATCCTCGTTCTTCCCCGGCAACATTTATGCGGAGCGAATCGGCTTGCCCGGTATTGCGAGGATGATATGAGTGCGAATATCGACGAAGCGCAGCGCAAAATCATTGACAACTGAAAGGCTGTGCGGAGAAGAGAGCGAAGGCAGTTCGAAAGTTGAACATAAAAGATAGATTTCGATCGCAGAAAAAGAAACATTAGAATGATGCACTAATTCGAAGTCGCTTGCGAAACAGTGTAGAACGGAGCATCGAATAGTCGAGATCTACGGATTCGAGCATCTTCGGATTGAGGTAAACGATAAAAAAAAAACTGCGACTGCGAACATCGAACAGATCTGAGCAAGCGTTCAGCAATTTAAAGTAAAGAATATTTACAAAACTTTAAAGGAAAGAGGTATAAACGAAAAATCCGTCACTAAATCTTCTTTCCACAGCTCATTCACGAACTACTGCAATTACATAATCTCACAGGGAATAATTTTAAGTTGATTCTTAAAGCTATATCTACTTTGCTACAAGGATTAAACAAGAACAACTTAGCTACCAAGAGTGGATATCAATCTGAAATTCGCAGAATGGCCGCAGGACCCTTTAAGTACCCCAAAAGATTGATCATTACTTCATCCTCTTTAACCCAGCTCGCATCTAAAGCCCTCGACTATCGACAAAATGAAAGACAGTGCGACGTCCTTGAAACTCGATGTATCACACTAGTCGTCAGGACACGATCAAGGCCAAAGATCAAAATCATACTGATCATAAATAAAATTTTCAAGTGTGATCCCGCTAGCCCGAAAGTCCCGAGTGAGAAAGTAAGAAAGTGAAGCGAATAGGTGCGAGAACACCGATTACAGACACAAGCTGGAGACGTGCTGCAATGGTGGCGGGCTTGGCGGCATAAGCTCTCGCTGTTCAGGAAGCTGTTGCTGTTGCTGTTGGCGATGATTTATACCACTGAGTGCGAGGGGCGGAGACGGTGACCGCTGCATCGAGTACGGCGACGATAACTCGACATCCTGCAGCTCTTTCAGACAGAGCCAGTCGCCGTCCACCGACACCCGAAAATTGCACAGGTATATCGTGTCCTGTGCGCCAGCCATATCTTCTTCGAGCATGACCCCGTCGTGATGCACACCACCGTGGTCGCCCGGTGGCCTGATCTTCAGACCGTTCTGGGATTCTTGCCGCATAGAAGACAGTAGACTTTTCTCCCTTTTGATATCTCCGATCCTCTATTCTTCCTTGGATAGCTCAATTTATCGTTTAGCTGCCGATCACTTCAGCGAGCTAACTCAACGTCTATCGTAACAATGTCACGAAAAACGGTTGATCCTTCAATCTCTCTCTCTCTCGATGAGAACAATGAAAACTGAGTAACTGATCGTTTCGATCCCTCGATCCTCTTAATGAACGACCCTCGAGTGAATTGGTCTTCGCCTCATTTAGCCCTTTTATTTTTAATAAGGTCGATCAGCTGATAGCACGAAGATCGAGTCTAATCGCTCGGTTATCGCGCTGCGATTATTCGAAACGAATTTTATTTCGCCCTGCGTGTGGATCTGCTCGAAGCGTTCGCGGTGATTCCTCCTTGTTACGTGTTTGTTCGGCGGACCGATGAAGCGTTAATCCGTGTGCGTTGCAATTGAAATATAGACACTGCGGTAAAAGCGATGAAAAGAAACCCTTGCTTAAGCGGAAAAAAACGGCTCGCGAACGATTGCTGCTACATTGTAGCCCGACGCCGCGCGACTCGATTCTCACGAAGAAAAGGGACACGGAAATTGACGCACAGAGGGTGGAAAACTCGCGTGTTTCGTACGTCGATCGTCCACGAAAAATATCACGTCGAAAATGGCGAGCTCGCCGGCGAAAAGTAATATTGATTCTCCCGCCGACCTTACCTCCACCTACGATAATCAATATTCCCGCTTTAGGCGGTGACTGTTGCGTGCTGACATCTCGTGGTGATCGAAAAACGTCGGTAATGTAGGATACCGTGGATCAGCGGATTCCACGAATAAATATTTACGCGTTTACCGCGATCGTATTCGTGTAATTAAATGTTTTTTTATCCGTACAAACATTTACACACTTATTTTTTGCTGAATCACTACAGCAGGTGGAAGTCTGTTATCCAGTATTGAATTTATTAGTTTATTTAGTTTCGTTTATAATTTGCCAAGCTGAAAGATACATTAAAACTCCTTTTCCATTATTATTGAAATGTATTTAATTACGTTTAAGGACATCTTTCTAGTGCTTTAAGGGCAAAAGAACGTCTAAACGCGACGAATCTAACGAACTGTTAAAATAAAAGGTAGACAATCTATTCACATATAGAGTCGTTAAAAAAAAATTGTCTCTACGGTGAAGTGGAAATTTAAGAAATGATTACCTACAACTACTTTGAATGACTAGTATATTAACTATTCCTGTAATTACGCCTCAACGGTTACTGTACCCTGTCTTTAAACAATAACTCTTTCATTTACAATTCAAAGTAAAAAAAACGACAAACTACGTTGTCACGACACATGAAAAACTCAACTATTTCGACTTTACTCAACGTATAAGCAATTCAACGATCCACGTGACACATTTAACACTAGAACTTCCAGATGGGTCAAAACGACCCATTTTGAGTCTTCTTTCGCAATCATGGGAAAGCCATAGACGATCTTCTCAGAAATTATTCAAGAAATTGATTTACATAAATACAAACTAAAATATAAGGAAATTGAAAACTCGATAAATGTATTTTTATAAGTTCTATAACAAAATATACAATCAATGTTACTAGTCGGTAGTCCTACTGTTAAATCTGCAACAATTTATACAAACGGGAGACCTAAGTTTCAGCTAGAGGTCCTCAAACGGTAAGGCATACCAGTAAAAACATAGAAATGTTCCACTCGTGTAATTGGGGAAAATAAAAAAAAAATAAAGAAAAGAAGATCTACATCGCCAGATTATTAATAAAACAACGAAACAATCGAGAAAAGGCGTGTTCGTCGTTTCAATTCGCTGCTGGAACCTTAGGGGGCCCGTACACGTAGTAATCCGCCATAGCGGAGGTAAACAATCCGGCAGTACGTCGCTGTAACACGCATAACGTTGCCATTGATGACGAGACGTCACGTCGGCTGGCGAGTAGGCGTTTCCCGATAAGAATAAGCCACGTTCGCGGTGAGCGCGCGTGCACGACACGGGGCTCCGCGGGCACGGGAGCCGCGACGCGTTCAAACCGCCCGCCAAAACGCAACGGAGGAGCATGCACCTATCGCGCTATGTACTTACGTCTCGGCGACCACCAGGCGTCCAGTTTTCTAGGCCTCGAAACGACCAGATCCGGCCACTTGTCCTCCCTAATCGAGTAAGTCGACGGCGATCGCGATACAGTTTTCTCATTTTCCTCGGACACTAGGCTACCCGACAACGATTTCTCGGACGGAGATATTGGCAAACCTTCGCTACTCTCCGCGGCCATGTTTACGTTTCCACTATACGCTCGCGGTCGCGCGCGCGCGCACCGACGTGCTCCCGCCGCCTTTTACTGGCTGCGTTCGCCGCCCGACGCCGCACGGACCCAACAGAATTACCGATCTGTCCGCCGCGCGATGGGAAAATGTCTCTATGACTGAAAATCAATTTTTCGGAGTCTATAGAAGAATAAAATGATTTGTTTGAATGCACGATTTCATACAGTGAAATAGACGAAATGGAAAGAATATAATGTTAAATCATTTGATTGAATTGCATTATTATTATTGGATGATCTAGCTGAATGTGACTATATTGGGTAGCATTATTTATAATAGAGAAATGTTTTCAAATAATCGTTTAATCGAGCAAACTATAGTAATTCGATTTGGTTGAGGGTCACCGGCGACCGGAGCTTCCAAATTGCTGAAGAATAATTATAATAGAAAACTTGATTTTAAATAAAAATATTTAGTAACATACGGAGGTAGATTATAGCGTAATGTGACTACTGTGATACTAAACCATTAATAATTATTTGCAATATGATTTGCCTTTGTTATTAAAGAATAAGTATTACTATTTGAACACTAGAAATTCTCGTGGCAGTTAACATATTAATATTAGAACTATTGTAACAGTCAAAATGACTGGTTTCGATTTTTTTGTTGGGCAATTATTGATATTTTAAAAGCATTCAATATTTGAAATGATGTTGGAAATAAATAGTTTCATTTGAATACTATAATAAATGTCTGAAGAAACTGGAGATAATCCATTGTTACAATCTTTATAGGGATTACATATTAATCGTATTATATACTCGGCAGTTCTAGTGTTACGACGTTAAACGTCACGAAAATCTTGACCGTTTTTCCGTAGAGTTATTCTTTTGTAACAAAAGAAAGCAAGAACAATTGTTAATTATTGACGTTACAATCCCTGCATTACACTATTATCAACTTAGTTATGTTATTGACCATTTTCATTCAACATCGGTTATCTTGCATGTTCCGATTGTTTTCAATTCGGAAACGTCAGTCATCGGTGACTGACATTGCGCTTAACGCGTTAACTGAAAGTAAAATTGGCAATAAATATAATAAGCTCCTTAAAAAATTACTTGCATCGTATTTATTGTAGTAATAATACGGCTTCGGCAACTACTAATGGCGATAATCATCAATTATTGCAAGAACCCGTATCAGATGATTGGGATATTTTTGTGGAATTGCCAAAGAACATTTCTTTATATAGAAGACTCGTATATGTATTATTAGAAAATCAGGTTATCTTCAGTTGTTCAAATATTAGAGACTCTTGACCAGTAAACCTGTGATTTTGCCCACAGTGCGCTAGTTGGGAACATCACTGAAACTTCAGATATTCCTGTGCTCGGGAAATATTCACTGGTTCTACATAACAGATGTAAATATGGCAGATCTCTGATTCATTGGAATGACAACGATCGCTACCGATGCTCGTCAATCCCCTGCTTCACGGGATAGCGGGCTTGGCTTGATGTTGATTCTACGGATAATTTTGATGACAATTGTGCCGCCCGCTGGCTGGGTCGGTTAACACGACCAAACAATAGTAGATGAAAATGCTACAGTAATACACATTAATTCTTCAAATTTCTCTTTAAATGGAAAATCGAATAAACAGTGTAGAATATACTTCATAAATACAGGTGCATGTTTATTCTAGTTAAAATATAAAGCTAAACTGAATGACTAGGGAATTTATTTCAAATATCGAAAGCAAACGAGTGTTTTATTTAATTTGTCAATTAAATTTGTTTTCTTTAATTCCATCGCTAGAACGTTTGATTAATTGTTCATTAACTTGTCTGTCAATTGACTCGTGTTTTCGAGAATGTCGGTAATAATCTATTGTGCTCAGAAGAAAAATAAACTCAGTCGTATTAGTTAAGCGTCGAAGCACACATTGTTCGTGGTTTCAGGAAGGAAAGCGAGTCGTTACACGCCATATAAATGGATCTTATGCGAAACATAATTCGTAGTCAGTGTAGTAATCTTGACCAGTTATTTCTGAGCCAGCTATAGCAGGCACACAAATAATGCAATACATCGGGACCTTATTATTGATGGGCGTCGTTAATTGCTATAAATGAATTTCGGTGCCGTATTTAATCGTGAACGAATTGTACCCCGCATCGGACTTATTAGCAATTAAATGGTAATTAATGAATAATTAATCAATTAGGACGACCCACGTGGAATAAAATCCGCACCTGGTGGGTTCTGTCTCTCGACAACGCGTTATAATGCTTTGCGCGTTTCTGTTAAGCATGTACGAGTTAAGAATGATGGCACGTGCGTATCAGAAATAACAGTATATCTTCATCTTCGAGTTGTTCATTTTATTTGCGACACATATTATCACTTTTGGACGGGTTCATATTTTTCGAGGCGAGAACACATTGCTAAACGTAACTGTCTTCTTGCTGGTGCACTCTTTTGAAAGGCAATTTCTTTCCAATAGGAAAAATGTTTCAAACGTTCAAAGAAAAACGAAACTTTTGGCTTTAATAGCTAATAACTAATTCTAATAATGCTTATCTTTGCTACGGAAAACCAACTCACATTATAAAACATTTAGCAACATAAATGCCTAGCTAATAATATAACGTAAGAACTACAATACCAAATCGCTATTAACTAATTTTAATAACACTCGTCTTCTCTACGAAAAAGTAATACCACAAAACATTCGGTAACTCAAATACCTAGCTAATAGTATAACCTAACAACCTAACTCTAACATTCATCGCTACAATAGAATAAGCAACATCATACAAATAGCTCGAAGCTCTCGTAACAATCAACCTGTTAAACCTCCCCATCTTTCAATCCTCCATCTCGGCATCAAGCTTCCCCAGAACCAAGCACTTCCCTGCGATAGACAAACGTCGAATGCAATCAGGTGTTAAAAAGTCACAGGAAACGGACCGAGGCCTGCGCAGAGAGCGCGCGCGATCGCAACCACCCTTCCCGCGACGAGTTACCCCCGTCGCAACACGGCTGAAACTCAAACTTCGCCGCGGCGTCGAACGGTGACGATCCCTCTCTATTTCCCTCTTTCCCTCCTTCTCTTTCATTCCCTCTGTTCTAAAAGGGCCGAAACGAGAATCGTCGGAACGACGTCGAACGCCGGCCGGCATGGCGCGAAACACTTGACTCGAGCGACGCGAGCCGTCGCAACGATGCGACACGGTCCCGCGACGGAACGCCACTCCGGACCGCGAAACGACCGATCTTCTTTTTCCCCGGCTGACTGTCCGGCCACGATCCGATCGCCGTAAATGCGCACGTCATTCGAGAATTTAATATATCGCGGGAACAATGTACGGCATGCTGTTGGAGAGTGTGCAGCACTTCGTGCAGGTAAGGCTTGATTCATACCAGCGATCAACGGTGCGGTCGGACAACAATCGATCGCGATCGACACTTAGAACTGTTTACCAAACGTTTAACCCACTTGTATCTTCGCTTTACGTGTGAAGCTTATTTTATAAATCAGAAATGCTCAATTGAAAGTCTTCCGAGATTTTCATTCCAATTAATATCGGCTTCGCGATGGTGCGGGATTTTTAGTCTATCGTTTAATTGATAGTTCTACGTTAATGTAACATTTTGGATGTAACGCAAACCCAAAGTAAAAGTACTAAGTTGAATTCCTTATCCTTTTCGTAAGTTACAAATTTCGGTGATCGATGTTTAAAAATGTAGCAATATGTAAATGCAACTGATACAGCAAAGTAACGCTCAGACATCTAAAAGCAATTCTCTGCAGATTGTTACGCTTAATGATGGGTTAATACGATCAAAGTTCAATCCTTATGAAAATTGTGACAATTCTCTTTCAATTTCTTTGTATATTTATTATAGTATTTATTTATTGTACGGTTGATTCTGTTGCTGCTAGGAGAATTAATGTTCTTTGTTCCTTTGATATTTGAAATATTGGAATAAAATAATTTTATTCCTTGATTTATGTACGTTTTCTCATTGGTTGGTTTCAAAGAAAGTCGTCTATATCTCATCGGAAAACGTTGAATGTTTCCAGTGGAAAGTTCTCGAGTGCAAAGTGTTAATAGTTCTGGTGTTAATGTTTGAGTCGTGGCTACAGCTACCAAGACTCGAGGCTCAGAACTGTAATTGTAATTTTTACAACACTAATTGTATATGCTTTTGTTGGATTTCATGTTATTACATTGGCAACAGATCATGACCGGCTACGATTTGATCCGACCGTACCGTTGACCGCTAATGTGAATCAGGTTTCAATGATATGTCTGTGTGCGCAAACTTGGCAAGTAACACGGTTTTCGCCGTCCGCCTGGACGCTTGTTTACGTTTCTAATCCGCTGCTTTTTTTTCTCCGGTTGAACGTTCCTCTTGCAATGCACCGGCTCCGGCGGAATAAACGGACCGTTCTAAAATGTAAATGAGAAAGGCGTCTTTCGAGTTCGTTTGAACGCCGTTTTGTCGTTACATCGCGCACCCTTGAACACAAAACGTGTATTAATGACATTTTTCTTTGTTCCAGTTCTTGAAATTAGTGTTAAAATTCACGTTTCTGCATTATTCTGAGTTCCGAGGAATACAAATTTGTAGCATTTATATTTCGATTTTGAGGGGAGCTTTCTTGAATACAGCTTTTATATTACTGTGATTTTTTGAGAATGATTTATACAATTGGGAATTTGTATAGAGATGTGTAGTTTTGATGTGAGTTTATTGTATATTATCTGTAGTGCCGTATTTATTTACTTGAATGTATGTCTCTTCTAAATATAAAAATATTTTTGAGTGATTGTAAATTCTGTGTTTTAGTCTAATCAAATGTTTAACGAAGAGCATGGGTTTTTGTGCAATTCCTGCTTGTGTACATTAATCTGTAAAGAATAGAAATTTGTGTAAGAAACGTGAGAGCAATCATCACATTTTCTGTAGACCGGTATACTTTAATGTTGTTTCCTCTGCGAAGATTAATGGAAGACAATAAAAGGAGTAATACGTTCTCTTTGTTACGAGATAACGATATTAAATAATTGTAAAGACACAAACGTGAGAAACACAGTGATCTTTTGATCTTAAGTGATGCAGTTGAACGATATTCAGGGAAGAAGTAGAAGAAGAGGAACAAAACCGAAATGAACGAAACAGAAAGCACGTGCACAACTTACATAGTTAGTCTTAATCGATTCAATTCGCGCCAATTAAACTGGGAACGAAAGTTTCTTCGAATGAAATTGACACTTTTCTTCTTAATAGATTCGATTAGTTCCCATTCCGAATGCGCGCGTGAAGCATTGCACGTTCTTTGTCAAAATGATTAAATTCCGATCGAAAAGTTTCTATGAATTATTTCCTCCAAGATTCAAGAGTATCAAATTCCTCGCCGAATTAGGATAACGTCCGTGTTTCCCGGAAAAACGACGCTGTTAGTATTAACGAAGATTAATTACGTAGTACAATATAATACACTAGCTAAGGAAAGAAAATCATTTCTTACCGCAAATACACTAAATTCGTGTAGACGAATTAATACACATCAAAATAAAAAAACTGTGAAATTTAAGAAACTTTCGTTGTTAACAAAACGTTAACGTAACGTAATTTTAACATCCTTAGATTTCACACTCTTACAGTTTAGAAAATGTTCAATCGATACAATTTAAGCATCAAATTATTCCTAATACTCTAGAATAATGGCTGAATGGAAATTAAGCTCCTTAAAGTGGGTTTGCAACAGGTATCGCAGTAAGTTCTCCTCTAAACGTTATACCGAACATCTTTTCCAATAAGCTATCCTCTTCGGTATTACTAAATTGGCAAATCCTGGCAAAAAGCTTACGACAGTATGCAATAGTACGAAATTATCGAGAAATACTACATTTTGTACATTGACTCAATATGAAGTGATTGCGCGCAGAATAATAAAAACGTTTGTTTCTCGTCGAGTAGAAAAGAATGTATAAAGAGAACGTTGCTTGGGAATAAATTTTCGACGGACTAGAGAAGAGTGTCCGATATTACAGGTATACCGAGAAATAATTTATACGATACTTGTACTAATTAACTGAAAAATAGCATTGCCTAATAATATTGTACCTAATCAAATGTTAATTATTTAAATTTTATAATGAATATAAAATGTTATAAAAATAATATTTTATAAATTATAATAATAATACCGTTTAATCTTGAATAATTTAATAATCATTAGTTGACACTCCTATCAGTTTTCGATGGCAATGGGAAATGTGCGTCCAGTGAACGTCTACAGTTGAAGTGTACGTCTCGAATTCTTTTCGAATCGTTAAATTCCCATCGGGTGACTGGGAAATTGGGATTCTGTAAAAATGGCCACTTTTCCGTTCACAACAATACATTTAACTTTATAGTCGAAGCGTGTGCTATATACGCTTGTCGAGTTTATGAGACAGCGTGGAAATTTTTGATTTATCGCGACGTCTATGGGCAATCAACCGTTTAACAAAGGTGTCACGTAATCTCCGAAGGAAACGGTTTGAAGGTACATACGCAATAAACGAGATATCTGAATATGAATGGACGCAGACTTCCTTTCATTGCAACACCTTAATTGTACAGTAAAGCTTTAAAAATAGACTTGCTCTTCCGGTAGTTAAGGAACACCTGTTGTAGAACGCTGACAAATTATCACGGTCCTCTGCTTTCTTTTCTTTTTGTTAGATTGTTTCAACCGGTTTCTCCATGCGAGATTTTCGGAATGTTGAAGCTTGAAGGCTCAAAGAAGCAAAAAAATATTGTCACGTCACCTATTCAACCCTGCAACGTTCTTCGTGTCCTTTATTTAATCACATTTTCAATTTTTTGGATTCTTTTCCACTTCTCCCCATTTTCTTCATTTTAATTAACTTATCGACTATGGAACTCAGTTTTAAAAATCTCTTATTACGCAATAAAATCAGACATTGAATTGGCTAATCGTTAAACACAGGATAAATACACCTACAGTATATTGTAACGAAAAATTAAAGCTAAACGAAGAATTATACATTTATCTAGAGGAATAAATAATTCATCGTTGAAAGAATTTTGAGTTTTGCCAATTTTCAATTTTCGGATAACGTTAAAAATACTTTGAATTTGAAAATGGTTAGGAAAACTGTTACTAAACTGTGCTCCCTTTCTTCAATGATATTTGGAATGCTGTGTTAAACAAATGTTTCGTTCGAGAGTTTAAAGATAAATATTTTGTTCAACAAAACGTATCGCAAACGACCGTATCAACGACGAAGGTTGATTCATTATTAACAAGCACATGTGTTTTTCGACACGCACACGCAATTAAAATTCGGTCGTCAAACTTGAACGATATACCTCGAGAAATTCGCGTGTCCGTTTACTATATCGAATCCCACGAGATTTCATTAGTATAGGGACAGTATTCGTTTTCGTGATCGGAATCATTATGCTCGTAGGAACATTGATTATCCTACGGTGAGCAAGAAAATGGCTCGATTGTGGATAGCAATTTGTCGTGGATACGTAAACGTGAAATCGCTTTTTGTACACTTATCAGAGCAACGTTATACTTTTACACTAGAATCACCGAGCGTTTAATACGATTAACCCCTTTGCTGTCGAACATCGTGTTAGACTCGTGAGGAAAATCTCACGTTGAAATTAACAAAAATAAATGAATCTCAATTGTCTTGAGTTCACGTTACACCATATATTTCTGTTATCAATTGTTACATTTTAAGGTAAACGTGGATATAGATGAATATGGAATTCTCTTTTGATTCGGATAAACTATCAACGACAAAGTACTTCACGCAGGTGCAGTGATGAAATAGATTAAAGGGATAATATGGAATTATTAAAAATGTGACAATAGATTTCATTGGAATATTCAACTGAAACTGTTTATTTCAAAATCATTTCAAACATCCGCTTTCGAGATGTCAATAATTCCAAAATAAGAAAATCGAAACCCATTTTGACGGACGTGGTGGTTATAGTATTAACCCCTTGGCTTATTATTTACTTCACTACTAAGCAACATTTTACTACAAAAATTTTCCATTCCGCTGTAACTTACTTTGAAGATAATAAATTGGTAATAGCGAAATAAGATTTCTGCTTTGATCGGTGGACAATGAACAATGTTGGTTTTTATTAAATTAATCTAGAAATCTTCATGACGAATCACACGAGACATTGTACGACAAGAACGTAAACTTATTTTTTTCATGGTGTTCATATAACTTTACACGATCCTTCGAACAAATCCACATATTTATCTCTTCGCTTCTTCTACGAAGGGGTGAAATAAATCTGTCGGTGACGCTGCTGTACACGAATGGCATTTCTTAGTTCGTGCGACACTATATTTCGTGCACGGTTCATTTCAGAAATGGATCGCATGAATTATGTTACGAGACACCGTATGCGCAACTTGTTCCTCAGTTTTCGTGGGAGAAAGACAATGGGACAACCACTGAAGGGAAATATTCCCTCGTGTGCAATAGAAACGGATAGATGCCCCTATCCTTTTATACCCTCTTTTCTCACTGTATCTCAGTTACTTTTATTGAAAATCGATCAGGAATTCTGCGGCGGATATATCCGAACGAAATACAATGAAATGATATTGAAAGACTTCTTCGGGTTTCTCTATTACTCGACAATATTTCTTCCGTGAAAACTGTAAGTTCTTGTGCAATTGTACGTTCATATGAAACAATGGGACGTTTGCGCGACGGTACGAGTTTGGATTTTGATCAGTTTGCGAATGCTTCGCTTTGAATTTCGTGAACGTCGAAATCATACGTTTGAAATCGTTTAACGTCCTACAAACAAGGTTTTCGTTGCAGCTAGAATACGGCGAGGAGATTTGGCTTCAGATCTTGGAAAAAGCTGACTGCAAGCACATGGTCTTCAACACGCGGCAAGTGTATCCCGACGAGCTTATGACTAATTTAGCAGCTGCTTTGGCGTCGCTGAGTAACGATTCCGTGGACAATGTGATGCGATTTTTCGGCAAATGTTTCGTTCGATTTTTTAGCAACTTAGGGTAAGTTTATTATTCGAAATTTGTGTTGATGGTTGTACCTAATTTATTGTAATTGCTTGCAGAAACTAAATATCCTTTTTTGTTTTAATGACATTATCAATAGGTGTCTCGATAAGATATTACGAAAACAGAGTATTACAATGTTGTTATACTATATTGTACCGAATATCATTATATAATATTATTGTAAAATATTGTGCAAAATATTATTATACAATATTACTGTACAATATTCTACAAAATGTAATTATACAATATTATTACGATATCAGAAGAATAAAAGTAAAGTGATACTAAAATAGATTGGAGCATTATGATAATTCGAGGACACGTGACTAAAAATAATTTGTACAGAGAAAGTGGATTCGAGACTAATTAAATCGTTTGTTTTTTAATACAGATTGAGGATTATTCTATGAATGATGCATTATTATCACTGGTAACGACATTAAACGTCCCGTTTGATTATCGGTTTGATTGACTTCGATTTAATGATTGATCCCCATCGCCGATCAACTGGCAGCGTATTGTTTCAATGAAATTCGATGAAACTCTTTTCAATTTGTAACACGCGCGACAGGTTATTATAGACGATTTGTTTGATTGTCTCAATTACTTAATACTCGGTGTAGGTGGAGCCGATAAGGATCGGGTGTAGCTCGGTCTTATCAGTTTTCTCAGCCTCGGGGGAGACAATTATCCGAGCGTAAACTGCGGAACGTGTTCCACGCGATACGTTGACTCGAAACAATTTCGCCATACCGCTTCAATCTCTTTTGACACAAGAGAATCATTTACCTGAATTTTTTACATTTCGTTGTATTCAGTGTGATACGAAAACTGGAAATCGTGTTAACTGAAATTTTCTATTTAAATTTATGTTTCATTGAAATGTCTGGAGAATCGTTTTTAAAATAACTATGCTTCTAATATTGTATATAGAGTTCCGTATGTTGACAAATCGATTAATGTAATTTCTAGTGTTGTAAACAAGGGTAGGTATTTTTAAACATTCAAATTTTGCATAGTATATTAATATGTTTTTCTACATTGAAATATTATAAATGTAATATATAAGTATATTTTTATTCATTGAAATATTGCGTGATATATAAATATATTTTTCTACAAAATTCACTGAAACTGCGCGCAAAAGGAATTGTTACTTTATAGGTACGCTTGTACAGTAAAAGCCACCGGTCGCTATTTCTGCGACTTTTTACAAAGTGTCGACAACATTCACATGCAAATGAGATTCACGTACCCAAAAATGAAAAGCCCTTCGATGTACACTACGCATGTTGACGCAGAAGGGGTAGTATTAGTTTATCGAAGCACCAGGCAGGGTTTTACACATTATTTTATGGGTAAGAAATGCTCTTTTATATAGAAAATATTTTACGAACCATAAGCGAAAGGGGGAAATAGACAAAAAATTGATTAAACATGAAATTTCTCGTTATGTGAATTATATTTTTATTTTTAACAACGTAGCACAAGCTGACTCGCGTATTTTCAACAGGTCAATTATTTCAAATAGCAGAAGAACTTTACAAAACCAAGCTGAACATTCGAGTATTAGAAAGTTCGAACAATATCCCAGGTTCGAGGAATGTAATGGTTAAATTCAGAATCGACTTCGATAATCGCGAATACGTAAGTAACAAAGGAAAGCAAGCAAGCTTCTTTTTATAAAACAATTATCGTATTTACATTAGTATTCTTGTAGATAGCTCTCTTCGACTAGAAAAAAAACTGAAAAATTCGGAAGTTTAAATATAGTGCCAATGCACAGAATTAATTATTTTTCCTTTACTTAATTTCGTGTAATCGATGTAGCTTGCGTTCTGATATTTTCCTTATAAAATATAAGATATTCGAAACTGTAAATATAATATCGCTGCACTCAATGAAATGATGTTTCTTTATTTAATTTTGAGTAATCGTTATAATTTGTATTTGAATACTACGTCGAAAAGAAATGAAAAATTCGAAAGTATAAATATAATATCGTTGCACAGAGTTAAATAATGTTTCTTTATTTCATTTCAAACAATCTGTACAATTTTTTGTCCAATATTTTCGCTACGAAAGATGAAAAATTCGGAAGTACGAATATAATACCAATGCAAAGAATTAATTAATGTTCCTTTATGTAATTTTGAGTAATCGATATAACTTGCCTGCTGATACCCAACGTTTTTAGATTGCAAAAAATACCAAAATGAAAACTCCACTGGGAAAGGAATTGGCACCGGTGTCTTGCACGTTTCTTTTACGACTTTTCCCGTTCGGAATCGTAATGAACAAGGAGATGCGAATATTGGGGGGTGGAGAAAAATTATTGCAAGCTTGGGGTGGCAGCTCATCGATCCTGAACAGGCACATCACAGAAATCTTTAAATTACGCAGGCCTAAAGGGATTTCTTTCACGTGGGGCAATGTAAGGAAATATACATTTCGTTACATAGAATTCTCCACCTTTCTCCTATTTCAATTTACAATCAGTACACTAAGAGAAATTGATAAAATAAACGTCAATGTTACACAAACAAGATATATTTGCATCTCATATTTTTTGTTTCTTGCAATACTTCCTCAATTCGATGTATTTACCCTATTTCTTACAATATAACAATTCTCTATTAAAATATATTTCCCGTGCTCGATAGGTTTCGTTAAATTTATCATTGAACTCTGTTTAAGAAAGAAAAAAAGAAGAACTCGGTGATTGTATATTCCGTTGGATATCTGAATATTTTTATCCGTTTCCGACGTTTACTTTCCAATAATAACATGTGTAGAGTCCTTACTTTCACAGTTAATTGCACTACGACAACCATTACCGTGAACCCAATGACCTACTTAATCGATGTATTCAGAATAATCGCCAGGCAAAATAACGATGTGCGTACACCTGTGCAGGTAATGTATTTGCATTCGGTGATGTTTGAATTAGAACTGATTCGATCGACCGATAGCAACGCAACGTCGAACACAGATAATAATGCGAGTACAAGCTCGGGATTAGACAGACGAGGAAGCCAGGGAGCGAGAAGTATCTTGTTGAAAGGTCAGATGAGGTACCTGGATGATATTAAGGCCATCATTTTCCTGTGCAGCCCGTTGTAAGTTAAAAAAGGCATATTCGAAAGAATATACTGTGTATTTAAGTATAACAGTGAACTGAACCGTGAATAAATAATAATGTTATTACTGGAATTTTAAAATGCGTGCTGTAATGTGCTTCTATATTATAAAAGTAAGATTAACAAGGCATAAAGTGAAAATGTTTCATTTTTCAATTGTTGTGGATTTCTCCTTTAAAAGAGGTCATGTGTTTTCGATTACTTGAGATAGGAGTTTGATATAAATAATGATCATTGACGTATAAAAGTGGATGAATAATAGGAATCATGATTCAACAGAATTAACAGTCTAGACGAGCTACTCAACATGGGTTTGTACTTAAATGATCTGAATCCCCACGGCCTCAGTCGAGAATTGGTCCTCGCGGGATGGCAACATTGCGGCAGGTAAAATATTACTTGTTTAGTTTGGACATAGTTAATCGTTTGCACTCAAGAGGTGATTCTTAGCACTTGATTCGATATAGCAAAAGTATGAAGTCTTATATACTATGTTAAGCTTTGTATACTGCATTAATATATGAAATACTGAAATATTTATATAATTCATCAATGTATAAAATATTGAAATGTTTGTATAATGCATCAATATGTGAAATATTGCGATAGAACAACTTCGTTCCTTAATCTAAGTATATCTCTTCATTACGTAATATCATTAACGCCAAATCGTAAAATTTGGAATGCTTCAACTGAAAAACTTTCAAGTGCAAAAGATTAAATGATCTACTGAGAAACTAACCTTTCCCCAACGCGTTGTCGTTCGTATGAATATTTACTTATAAATCCATTAATATTTCAGACTAGAGATGATGTTTGAAAGAGCAGAGCAAAGATCAGGCGAACTGGAGAACAGTTACGCGCTCCTGGACCGTTGGAAAAACAAAAGCGATGAACTGTTGTACTCCATGATACCGCAGACGGTGGCCGACAGATTGCGAGCTGGCGCGTGCCCTTTGAGCACCTGCGAGGTACAGACAAAAGAATCCTTCCTCTTGCACCCCTAGTATTCTAACCCTTATCGGACGCTAGCTTTTTATACATGATTCTCGCTAGATTGCAGTTGATTTCGGTACATATGCGAAAATTGCGATGTTGACCCTCTACAGGCTCGTGTGACTTTGAAGTCACACATCAATATACCGGGTTAAATTTATTTATTTAATTTTTTATCACAAAATGACGAACGACATTAAATAATTAATCAACTTAAACTTTTGTACACACAGGCATTTACGTTCAACGTCATTGTAACTTTAAAGTTACAAAATATATTTGTTTCAATAAAGGTATTAAAACTATTGAATACATTGTTAATTCATGTTCATACGTTGACATTTATTAATTTCATACTGCATAAATTTTGTTATTGTCACGAAACAAAATTCGGCCTATAGAGGGTTAATTTCTCCGTTGTTGATGCTTAACTGACAAGGAAATCGCGCCCACATTTTACAGACAGCGATTTTCGACAGATTCCATTTTGTCATCTCTCACGTGACATACGATCGCAGTGACAAAGTATTGTTGTCATATTGAGTTGATGCAAGAATTTATATGTTTTTTGATAAAAATATCATTGTATTCATTTTTCTCTTGAAAATCATATTTTCACAATGATAGTACAAATAAGCTTATAGACAGATGGTAGAGGATAATAGCAACCAATGGAAATTATATAATAGATTACGTCAGTAAGAATATTTGAAAAACTCCTCTTTTTATTTCCTACGAGAAAACATGAAAACTGTTGCGTCAACCGAATATTTCCATTTACAAGCAACAAGATCATTTTCCCGTTTCTTGTTTTCCTCCAGTCGTTCGAATCCATAACAGTCTTGTTTTGCGAGCTTTGTGACTTCGACTACTCGACCATCGAGGGTGCAATGGACATCGTCTCCTCGATGAACGCGGTGTTCTCGTGTTTCGACTCTTTGATGGACCAATTTAACGTGTACAAAGTAAGTCCACATAGAAGAGAACGGGAGGAAATGAAAACAGCCGCATGCTCGTGGCACGTTATCCTGTGTTTATGGTTTTCAACAGGTAGAGACGGTTGGTCGAATTTATATGGCGGCCAGCGGCGCACCCGACAGGACCGAGAAACACGCGCAGAACATCGCGGACGTGTCGTTGCAACTGATAAAGCACGTTCAATCACTGAAATTGCCGTCTGGTCTTGACATACACATTCGAATAGGTATTATATGTCTGGTATACAGTAGACTCCACTATAACGCGGTTGAAAAGTTGTTGAAAAATAAATCTAAAAGTGAGAAAACAATGCAGAGGAAAAAGATGAACGTGTCATAAGATGAAAAACTCAAAGAATAAGATTTTTTTATTTAAAGCTTAACACGTTCGCTACCAGCGTCACATGTTTGTGACGTCCGTAATCCTATATTTTACGTAATGAAAATGAAATTAATCTTATAGATATTGTTATTAGAAATTATAAACTACAACATTATATTTACGAACTCAATGACTCGTTTTAGTTTCATTTTTCTAATATTTTGTTTAGATTTATTGGATTGAAGGTGATATTATAATTGAGCAGACCGTCACCGAAATAAGCGCTGATAGCGAACGTGTTAATTGAAACACTCTGCAATAAGATTTAACGCGAAATCTGCAAAACTCAATTTTACAATTTTTTAACGTTATAAGGGAGGCTACTATAAAGTTACCGTGAAATTATATTTCTAAGAGCATCCTTTTGTGCGTCATTATTGATAGAATAATTGACCATCGATAATTTGAGATACTTGTCCTCGTCGAATCATGATAAAGGTTTTCGTTTTGTGAAACAGTTGCGTTCAATATTATCGATTGAAAACAGCGTTAGAACTAAGATTGAAAGACATTCGGCATTCTCCATGAAAAATATGAAAGATTCAACCGAGCACGAACGCAATCGTGTACAAACGTGTTCCACTTTCTTAGGAATTCATTCTGGACCAGCTGTGGCAGGTGTTGTCGGCATCAAAGTGCCAAGATATTGCTTCTTCGGGGACACTGTGAATACTGCCTCGAGAATGCAGTCAACCAGTCTGGTAAGTTTGCTTATGCAATATGGATTTCACCGGGAAACGATAAAGTACAACGAAAAGTTTGATACACGCGAAATTGGAAGATCAAAAATGAAGGGGAGCTTTTCTATGCGCGAAACTTCGACTTTTATCTTCTCCAGTCTATTCATTCTGTGCAACGCATAAAAGATTCGAATAAATCACAAAAATGCCGTTGATTTTAATTACAACTGCTGATGTTCGTCTAAAAAATGTATCCTTTGTATTAAAACTTGACCAAACGTTTCGTAAATACACTTTTAATTCATTAATCCTTCGCAACACGTAACTACACGTATCTCTTCGAAAATGTTCAAAAAAAATTCGAAATAGCGTAATGAGACATAATGAATATGTATTCTCTAAGAAACAATTTTTTCCACTGTTGAGACATAACCCTCACACTGGAAATTCGAGAAACGATAGAAAAATTCGGTGTTCCTAGAGTGTTCATCACGAATGCATAGCAATGTAAAAAACTCGTCTTGCTACTTTTCGACTTTTTAATTCTTAAACAATTTTGACAAAATGTCAATAGCTTCAATGTTGTGACTAGGATAGGAAGAATAATGTGCATTTTACGGCGCAGTTTTTAACGAAACCTTTAAAGTAACAGCTTCGAAGAAAGCTTCAGAGTCAAGCAATATTTCTCGTTACTAATAAAATTTCATAACGTTCGTATTGTACTCGTAAACTCTGTGACACAGCCGGGGAAGGTTCATATCTCGGCGGACACGAAAGCACAGTTACCAGAAGATCGCTACCGCATTGATTCACGCGGGATAGTTTGGGTCAAGGTTCGTATTACAAGAAACCCGATTCGTCGGTCCTTGGTCGGAAAACCCGTGATACTCAATTTGTTGTTCAACCGCAGGGGAAGGGCAACATGGAGACGTATTGGTTGCACGAAAAAGCGGAAACGAGCGTCGAGCCGACGGTGGAAGAAGCGGCTCAGCCCGAAGGACTTCTAGTCAGTGACATTTAGCGCGTGGCGAATGTCCATAATTAAGAAAAACCTCGCATTGTTCCACGCTGTTAACACTTTACCCACCGAGGTCCGAATAATTCGATTTTCCACGATGTTTACCTACCGGGAACCAGAAAATCGGATTTTCGATGCCAAAATTTATACAATGGAAATTTTTTGAACGTCGTGAATACCGAATCAACACAAGTCTACTTTGTAGCATTATCCATTTGAGTTATCGATGGAGCTTTCAGCTTACTGAGATCTATTTAGTAATATTGAAAATGTATACGTAATGAAGATGTATGCGTGGAATCAACCAAATAGATAGTGAACGACGAATGATGAATAAACGAAGATGAAAAGATTGAGTTTATTGAAATTTTCATCGGTTGACTTGTGCTGTTTTGGAATTCATGGCTTCGATTAGTTCTTATCGAGTCAATTAATGTTGTATAAATTGTGTTACCGTTCACGTATTGGTTATTTCCAATTCAAATATTATAAATATTTTGGAATTATCTATTATTCTATATTATTCAATATTATTCTACAATGAATCGGAGTAATACGTCGCCGGTAATAAGAACATGTTTCCGTTCCAGCAAGTCGATCGGTATTCGGACGGTCGAGTACGTTTGACATTTCGAAATTAAGTGGAGCAATTTTTTCCTGTTAGATAGACGTGTTTATCATTTTTTCATTTTCAAGACTTATCACCTCTCTTGAATAATCGCTGCATGCCTTTTGTTTAAAGTATAAATCGATTTATTTAAAATAAATAATGAGTATTGTACAGTATGTTTCAGTTATTCCAACATGGATATTATTTATGAGATTTCGTGGGAGACTCTAAAATATAAGACGACGAAGAATATTGAGTAACAATGATTTAACACGTTGAATGTCGCGGGGGTCACCGGTGGGTGACCCCAACTAAATCGAATTACCATAGTTCACTCGATTAAACCATGATTATTTAAAAACATTTCTATATTATAAATAACGCTACCTAATACGTTGACATTCAGCTATGAACGTGCACTAACCATAACGCAATTCAATCAAATGATTTAATGTTATATGATTTCATTTTGTGTATTTTGCTCTATGAGATCATGCGGCACTCAATGTGTTAACGTTCGAATATCTAATTAAGAGTTCATCAAAAAGTGGGCCATCAACTTGACTTATGTCTATGAATGGTTGAGTAATCGACACTTGATTCTATTTGTCAACGGTGTAAACGAGAAACGGTAACACGCGCGGAACAGTTGACCCAGCCACGAGCTGGTGTCAAAGCGAGTACGTGAGTTTTCACCGAAATTCCAAGTCGAAACAAAGAAAGTCCCAGGAACTTTCTTTCTCATACGTTCAATGTTGCGAGCTTTGTCTCGGTGTACGTGCCTTAATTTTCAATCGCTTCGTCACCAGTGTGACAGAAACACCTTGAACACTGGAACTACCGAGCGTTCAATGCAATTAACACTAGGTTTACGGTTTATTCTATTGTTCCTAGAAACATTGATATTCGTTCGTTTGAATCTCGGAAATTAGAAATTTAAAAGTAGACTACTAAGGTGCATATTCGCGAAATTACATCAATCAACATCGACGTAAACATATACCAAATACTGTTTGTAAAACTCCATATGCATCAAATTGACGCGTCCCGTAAATCTATTGTTTACGTGTGATCCTTATAAGAATTATAACAATAGATTTTTCTCGGTTTCTCTGTATATTCACTATAGTAGTCAAGCGAAAATATCTAGTTTTAAGATTATTTCGGGTATTTAACGCTTTTAAAAATATTAATATTTGCGAAATAAGGGAACCGTAACCCACCATTTTGTCGGGTGCGGTAGTTCTAGCATTGAACACAAGTCACACCCGATTTAACAAGCGAAATTATCGCACTCCGCCTGTGTAATATGAACTTCGGAGTGCATTTAGTAGTTCCCGAGTATTTTAATGTCACAGATTTAGGTAATCTGCAATATGGCTGACGCACGCGTGCTGAAAGGCGCCTTCACGACGTCGCAGTAACTGAGAATTATGTCAATGATGAAAGTTGTTCGTTGCTCTAATTCATAGACCGCGAATCCTCGTGCAAATTGAAATGTTTAAGAACATAATTTGAAGAGTAGAATTACAATGAAAATGTGTTCCAACATTTTTCAGCAATTCCGGCCGAACTTCAGCATTTAATACTTCGGGCGTTTTATGTAGGATAATTCCGAGCGAGATGGCCCAATTTAATTTAGATCGTCAAATATCTGTAATACTATTTAACTATTGTTTTTGCACGTATATACTTTCAAAAATATATATTTCTTGTGTGGTATCAATGATATTTATGGTGTAGCAGTTCTTTCAGAAAAGTGGGCCATCTATACCCGACTTACCCTACTTTTTTCGTACCGTGTGCATTCTGTGCGGTCAAACGCTCTCAAGTTTCCCACGAATGCATAAGAATCTACAATTTACAGATTAGCGTCGAATCAACAGTAGCAAGAATCCTCGGTATTGCGTTTGATCCACGTCAAGTATCGGTTCACTCTGCTGTAAACGCCGGGGTAGCCAGGCTTCGCGCAACCTTCGCCCCAGGACACGACCCCTGCGAATGATACGAATTTATCATTGTCTCGTGGCGCAATATTTATCGTGAATCTTTGAACGATAACAGCAATAACGATTATAACTTTTTAATCATCTTGGAATTCCATAAATATTAGAACCGTACGAAGGGATTGTTTTAATGCAAATAGATTCAAAATTAACGCTATTTCTACTGAAGGTGTCGAAAGACATCTTTCGAACTTTTAACTTGAAATGATTTCCTTAGTTTAATCATTCTTCCTCGAGTGAATTTTGAACTTGATTTTAAGTTACAATCTTGAAAGGTGTCCTTCGACACCTTCGGCAGAATAGTGTTAAGTATATGAATTTCAAGGTGGAAAGTTAGTCGAGGAATATCTTCAGTATTCCGATCTTAACAAAGAATGTTTAAATTTAAATAGATTCAAAATGAAATAGATCCATTTCAAAGTAGATGAATTTGTTGGTATAAACCCAATATAGGAGAAGAATTAACAATTCGGTATATGGAATATAGATCTCACCGACTACGTGGTATGTGACGTCGTTGACGATGTGTAAAGGACCACCGCTGTCTCCCTAATAAAATCAAATTGTAGGATATTAATAAATGAAACAAATATATAAATATATATTTAACCCTAGACCTACCGAGCAATTATTGAGTTTGATACGTAACGAGACATTTTGTTTATTTCTTTAGACGTTTGACATAGCATTTCAGCGAAACTGTTTATCTTCGAAATAGTTTCGGATATCGAGTACTATGAAAACATAAAAAATTGCAAAATAAGGAAACAAAACTCGTCATTTGAACGGTAGTTCTAGTATTAAATAAAGTTTGCTCGTTGAACGTGAAGGAATTTGTCTACGTACAAACCACTGTACTACACGCCCCTAGCGTTAGCTCAATCGACCTCTAAGTTAAAAGTGCACAGAGGCAAGGGGACTCTTCCACTCGCGATGCTCGAGCCACCTCGATCTTGCACGCATAGTCATTATTGGCGCGCAGCGATGAAGTGAGATGTAATGATAGAAAATAAAATTCTCTAGTTCTCATTATTGTTACACGCCAGTAACGATCTCGGATCGAAAGTCGAGACAGCTCGAGCGTCGCGATTAGAAAAGTCTTTCAGCTTATGGTGTGATGGAGCTAACATGAGAAGCGCAGTGTATATATGTGTGGTATAAATAATTTAGAATAACGTTATAATGAATTATCGAATTTTCGTGAATACTAAGAGAAGATATTAAATAAGGACGATGTTGACGAAGTTCTTCGTTATTTACCTGACACGAATCCTTCTTTCCCTCTTCGTAACCGGCGCAAAGCATGTTGTCTGTGATTTTCCGCGCCGGGTACTTAGTATTGCGACACTCGGCATTCGTGAGAATAGGCACCGTAACTTCCTGCAGAGTTTGTGAGATTTCACCGGATGCCGAGAGCGCACCCCATCCGGTTACTACAGCCTTCAGCCCAGAAAATGTTTTCGCTGCGAAAGATATTTTTCGAATATTGACGTACTATTTACTTTCGCCACTAAGCTCGCGTGCCGTTTTACTATCGACAATTTGGAAGAAACGCAACAAAATTGTCCATTCTACTTCAGGTGGAAATTTTATTTGAAGATAATACAGTGATAATAGCAAAATAGTTGTTTACTTTTATCCGTAGGCAACGAACAACATTGATTGTTGTTCAGTTAGTCCAGAAATCTTCATTACGAGTCTCATTCGTCGCTGTATGGCAAGGGGTTAATTATACGGTAAAATTTCATGAATATTCGATGAAATAGTCACAGAATTTTCTATAATTCTAATCAGTCGACAGAGAATAATGGAATATTTGCAAAAGTTTGCAAATAAAAAAATGAATTAAATTATTATTGTTATATATTCATCATAATATTATTATATAGTATTATTATAGAATTATATTATTATTTATATATATTATTATACCTCTTTCCGGAAGACACACGGGCCTCATTTTCCCCTCGAATCGTATAGGCTTGGTCAATCTGACCAGCGCGATGTCGTTATCGTAGTTAAACGTCGAGTAACGGCTGTGTTTCATCACTCTGTCGACTTTAAACGTTTGCACCTCTGTCTCCTTCGTGGAATTTCTATCGTGCTCCAATAATTGAACCGACATGAGTTTCGGATCGAACCTGATTTAAACATCGTTGAAACAGAAACATAAATTTATTTTTTAAGTTGCATTTACTTCGAACGACGTTCGACTATTTCTCGAGCTGCACTGTATAATGTAACAATGGTGAAACGAGAGGATAGACGATTTACCAGTTAATTGTGGAATTCTGTTTCAGAAATCATATTATATACTATATCAATGATAAAATCACTCGATCATGGGTATACACGTTGGACACAGAATAAACGCGTCTAACATTTATGAAAATGAAAAGCTAAAGTCAAATGAAAAATAATTATATGTTTCTTTAAAAAAGCAAATAATCGATTGTTAAAGAAATAAATATTATTTTGAGCTTCAACTGGTATACTCGTCGAAGACAGTTAACTGGTAAAACAGAAAGTCGAGTCACCTGTCAACGCAATGAGCGGCTGTTAATATATAACGGGAGTTTATAACGGATCCACCGCAATAGAATCGTCCTCTAAACATCATCAACGCCATCCAGGGATATTGATTAACTTGTGTCTCAATGCCTCCCACTATACGCGTCTGTGTATTAGTTAAACCGCATTCTGTGGAATCACATAACACCGTTCACGGCTTGTCTTAACACGAGTTAATTGTATTGTAACATTATGTGGGTTGCTGCAAATTGTTTCGGCGATCTGCTGTCATTCAGCCGTTCGGTATTAAAAGCAATAGTTCTCACTGTGTCTCAAAACATCTACAGCAACCCACGTGTTACACCATCTATATTTTCATATCGTTGTTTCGAACTTCAATTAATGATTCCAATTTTACAAAAAACTCCTTTCTGTTCGCTCTCATTTCTAATTGCCACTAGATTCACGAGTACTTATTGTACACTACATTTCATCGTCCCCAAAAAAGACGAATCTTTGAAATTAAAATAATCTGTATTTCATTCGAACGATATAAATCAATTTGATCAAAGCAAATACTGTCTATTAAATTTAATATTCGTCAAACTGACGCGCCCCGTATATCTAGCGTTGAATTTTTAGGCATCAGTTATTCGAATACAGAAATATTCCAATTACGATTTCATTTGTTTTACGAAGAAATCATTTCTTACTGCACGGCTTGCAGACTTTTTCATCGCTCGCTGACGGTGGAGGAGCAATTGTTGTTGTAGTTGTCGGCACTACCGCGCCAATGGCGTTATACAGCCATTCCCAAAAATTCTTGTCATCCACGGCCGTCGTATTGGACAGCGTGATGTTCAAATTGATATCTAGATCGTCGGCGACTGTCGTTTGTTCATCCTACGGTGAACACTCGTCGTTATGGACAGAAGCTTTGAATAAGTAAACGCGACGGGAGGAGAATGGCAGAGGGAATAAGTTAAGTTAACGAATTAAGCAAGTAATGGAAATGCGCTGGAATATATTAATTCGAGAGGTAACCGGGAATAGACACATTTCCGAACGAAGAAAAGAGATGGATTAATCATTATCCCATTATATACAAATAAATATAGGAAATTTATATAACCGAATACTTCATTAACAATAGAACTACCGCACCCGTCAAAATGGCGGGTTTCAGTTCTCTTGTTTCGTAATTATTGATAGCTTGAAAATGTTAAGCATCCGAAATGATTTTAAAAATAATTTCACTCGAACACTAAAATGAATACACGAAGAAATCGACAAAATTTTACTGTCACAATTTCTATAAAAATCATATATTATTCATATTAAACTCTCGATCGTTCTAGCGTTAAATAATTAAATGCAATAACTGAAGTATATCAAGAAACAAACACGAATCATCGAATAATCGAATTATTTATTTACCAAACAAAATATCAAATACTAATTTCGAAAGATCGCAAAACCTTACACATTCCAATCAAACAAGATGTTACATATCATTAAACAAAACGAGTAAGCTATTATATAATATCGTTATTCCCCAAAATGAAAATTTCCTATATACCATTAAGTCCCATGAATGTTTGCCGCGGTATGTTAATACTTTTCGCGTTACGTTTTGCAGTCGCGGAACGAGACGAGTTTGAACTGCTTCGGTTTAATCGGTAAAAGATACTCCACAGCGACAGGTCGTGAAGTTATAAAAATGTTATATCCCATAAAATATCATTTTATATACCAGGAAAACTAAACATCACGAACTTATGCGTGTACTTCTAATGTTTCTTAATATATAAAACGATGAAAGCATGAGAGGACACGAAGAAACGGATGTCAATGGCGGCGTCGCTGAAACAGGTACTTACTTCCTGGCAATTAACGCGACAAGTCACCGCTACCAGAACGGCAGTGCAAACTATTAAACGAAACCACATTGTCACTGAACACTGGGACTTTTGCTCCCGGTTGCACACGATAGTAAATACCGGCAATAACTGAGCCGCGCTACGCCCGTCGTACAAACCAAGTCACCGAGTTCAATCGGCGAACCATACACTTCTTACCGAGCCGACGTACACTTTCACACAACTCTTCGATTCGGCGCCACATCTATATTTATACGGAATAGTGGACTGGCGAGTAGTCCGAGTGAAAATTTAGGCTAACTGTATGTAAATCCCGGGACCGAGCAAACATTATCGACGAACCGAAAATCTCGTTATACGCACGCGATACCGGTTCGCTAACAATACAAGGATCACGACCGCTTCGGCAGAGGTGATTCACCTTTGCTCACGTACACCGCTTTCGTGTTCCTTCCTGGTCATCTTCGCGAAAAGGAACAACCAATCGACCGCGTTCGCGTTCGAATGTAACGAACGATCAACAGGTTTGCCGTTAAGCGCTGCATCGGAGAGCGCTTCGCCGGAACAATAAAGGCAAGGGTGTTGATTTTTGAAAGAATATTATGGAAACGTATGGGGGACACGGGATCGTTGTATTTGTGGTATTTGAATGGTAAACGGCGAGATAGAGATGCGAGAATGTAGTTTTTTTGAGAGAATTATCTATTACCATTTGAGAGTTGTGTGTTAGGATTTGTTAATTGTAATTTGTTGAATTGTGTTACCATTTTGATGATTATTTGTTATTGTTTAATAACATTTAAATGGTACACGTTGAGCTAGAGATGTAACAATGTAATTTTTGAATAGAATTGTAATTTGATATTTGTTTGTTATGATTCGTTAATTGTAATTTGTTGAATTGTATTACCATTTTGATCATCATTTGTTACAGTTTGATAGTACTTGAATGGTAAATGTAGAGTAAAAGATGTAAAAGTATCATTTCGTTTAGATAATTATAATAATTTGATATGTAGGATATTATTAGAATATACGGATTTATGTTCATGTATGATTAACAATTATTTCGGCGAGATTCATGTCAAATCTAAGGTGCGAAGCACATATGTTCGTTGCACACTATTTGAACATAATCAATGAATCATTTACCTGTATGTAATTTATAAAATAAATTATGGTAACTCCAAAGACAATGTGTCGACTGTTCGCCCTTTCTTCAATAACATTTTGAAGAATAAAAAGATAGAAGAGTCTCTGGTAAAATTATTAACCCTTTGCACTCGAGAGGTAACTCTCAAACACCACTTATAAAATTTGATATTTAGTATTACACCATGTATAATGCATCTGTATTGGGATAAAAAAGCTTTGTTTCTCAATTTACTTGTAATGTCTCTTCGAGTTAATTTCAAGAAATACCATCTTCATCTAGTTAGAAAATGTTAAGTATTTCTAACGAAATACTTCCGAGTGCAAAGGATTAATTTTTCTATAAAAAAAGATAGAAAGAGTTAGTTGAGACCTTGAAAAGACAGCGAAGTTAGCCGTTCACCCGATGACAGGATCTATGATGTAAATCAAGTTATCAAAGTTCTAGTTAATGTTAAGAGGAATGATAAGATGAAGTAGGACAGAGGTGTGTATCTCACCTGTAACCCGTGACAGTGGGTCAAGGTATATGGGTCACATTACCCTCATGCGGGTGGGCCATTGCTTTATTGTTACAATGTATGACAATACATGACTAATGTTATCAGAAGCCTTGCCTTATTTAAACTTATCGCCAGGGTCAGATTGTAGCCATGATTTCACACTTTTCAGGGGCAAGACAATTTTATTAAGTGGATTACACTACAGTTGCCTCGTTACGTTCGACACGAGGAGTTTCTGTTACGACTATCAAATATGTGGATTTCTACTCTTCAGATAAGAGTAAAACCGTATACATAGAACCACGTGTACACATGACGAAGATTTATTTTTCTCTTACTAATATTACTTGGTTTTCATACAAATATTTTACAGTTATCAAATATTCCACTTGGCGATTACTAATAACAATCGAATTGATGACTTATGGGTCAAACATCTTAAAACTTTTCTGATAATTTTAATCATCTTTACAACTATATATAGTTTTACATAGTTTTATAGAGGTTTATGTGGTTTTAGGTAGTTTTATGTAGTTTTATATAGTTTTATGTAGTTTTATATAGTTTTATGTAGTTTTATATAGTTTTATCTAGTTTTATCTAGTTTTATATAGTTTTATATAGGTTTATATAGTTTTATATAGGTTTATATAGTTTTATGTAGTTTTATATAGTTTTACGTAGTTTTATATAGTTTTACTTTACAAACTTCTCTCGTGACCAAATATCCCAAATAAAAGAGTCAAAAATCATAATAAAATTAATAAATACATCTACTCCCGCGAACATAAAATCTTCCGGATGAAAAAATTTGGATCAATATTTCTAAACAACAATGCAATATTTCTTAATAGTCTCAGGAATCACGGTATCCCGTTTCTCGGTAATAAAATTTACAAGTTCAGGAAGCTGTTTAGATGCTAATATAAATCACGGACAAACACATTCAAATGTATGCTGAGTTTCGATGTTCCAAATTAACATTGAATCCAAAGCAAACATTAAAAATCGTGGCGGCCGTTACGATGGGCATAAATTATCCGACACTTTCGTGCGCGATAGCAATTCCCTCGCTCTTAATTGCATTTCACTGCACCGCAGTCGATAAACGCAACCGTTTCTCAACTCTTGCTTAAATGTAAATCATGTATTTATCTGTTTCATTCTTTATTCCTACGGCTTTTTTTTTATTTACAAAACATCGAACACAGCAAATTATTATCTTCTTACTCTCTAAGATAGTCTATTACCTACTGCTTTACAGCAATCATCATCGATATACCATCGAACACAAGAACAAGCTTCGCAGTATTAAAAAAACAATCAAAATTTGCAATAACGATACCGCAATAATCAGTAAAAGATGCAAATACTTGTGACAGGCTAAAACAATATAAACTTCGCAGCCTTACAAATGTTACAATAAACCATTCCGACATAAAGAAAGCTATAGAAAAGTTGTAATTACGTAGAAACAAGTGATTAACCAAGGTAACGTAAATTCGAAATCTACTCCCGTTAAATTCAAACTTTCACGAGTGAAAGAACGTCAATGTTCGAGCCATTCGAGTCTCAAGAAACGCAAGTCCGAAAATTCAAACTTACATCTTTTTCCCAAATAAATTCAATCGTTGAAAGCGACTGCATCCAAAGATGCAAAGATGAGTTATGCAGATCTTAAACAGCACGTTAGAATTTAAATTGCACAAAATTAAGAACTTCGATAGATCCCAGTTACAATTCGAAAGTACATCAACTAATTTTCGTACTTTTCTAAATAAAGATGCAATACACTGATTAACTTACATATATATTTTTACAAGACTTACAAATAATTGTATTAATAAAAATATTAGATACGACGTCCAAAAACAGTGTCTATCGATACATGTAAGTATCAGTTTCAGGAATGCAGTTGGTTAACCGGTCAAATAACTATAAAACAAAGGTAAACAAGTTGGATGATTTTTCTAAATGAAAACAGAAAAGAAAGCAAAGGCAACGGTTGTAAAACTGATTAATCGAACACTATAGAAACTGACATAGAGTTACAAACGATAGAAGACGCAGACTTTCTAATCAAATTTGAAAATCGGTCATTTAACCGGTTCGCGGTACGCTTAGCGTTAAACGAGATCCACAGTTCTATTTTCGGGAAATAAACAGCTCCTTGGATAAACGTTGAACGACAATGGGTGAACCTAATCATCGTTATTCGAGCGAGCGAGGCTGTTTGATCGGCGCAAATTTACGTAAGATAACGTTAATCGTATGATCGACTAATTATCTCGACACCTCGTAAGCCTGGATAAGCAACGAAGTGTAATTAGTTGGACGCGAAACCTCGCTCCAGCGATGTTACAAAACTCACGCGGCAGACTGGGGCAGCAGGCAAAGGAAAACGAGCAGTCGAACGGCCGTTTCCACGGTTGCCCGCTAGATGTTTGCCCCGTTCGGTCTTGCAAATCCGAAGACACGCCGCTGTTACATTGACCCGATTTTCGAGCGCAACAGAAACCACCTAATACCGCCATAGAATCAAACTTCTTGGAATAAGCTTTGTAGCGAAACGTTCCCCGCCTACACCTCCAGCGAAATTATTTCACGGATGCAACAGGCCTGGCGGTTCATCCTCGAAGTTCTACGAGATCCGGAACTCGACCCGCGAGTTGCATAATTCATTTAACACTAGAACTACCACTCAAGAACAGTCAAATTAACTTTCTTTTATTCCTCTGGAGATATTGCACGATTTGGATTTATTGAGATTTTCATTGGTTTATATTTTAATTTGTACATTGGCAAATTAGGTTGCTTAGTCGTTTCTTTGACAAACGCTTGTATCTTCTCAATGATTATGGAAGAGGAAATTGGGAATAGGTCGTGTTGACCTATTCGGTGGCTTTAGTGTCAACCGATTGGAGACGAATAACATTAAGTGTGTAATGTACCTAGCCCGAAGGACCAATCACGCGCCGCGTGATGATCATGGTTTTCTGTTATCTGTTGGTAGTGAGAGAGTAGGTTACTTTATTAGTTACAGGTGAAAATTAACCCTTTGAACTGGGGAAACGACTTTTAATCGCCGTTTGATTGATATAGTAATTATAAAGATTGATGTTTAATACTGAACTTCGTATAGAGCAACAGTATGCTAAATATTGAGAGAAATTAGTTTTGGTACTTTTTTAGATCTTCTTCGGTTTCTCAGATATCCATTATAGTATTCAAGTGAAACTATTTCCAGTTATTCTACTATATTATCGACAAAATAACAACTATGACAATGTGTATATGACACACGTAAAAATATATATCAACTATAATAACTATAACAACTATGGCAATATGTAACAACTATAACAACTGTAGCAACCAATAGAACAACCATATTATCAAACCGATCAACGAAAACCGCGGCGATCCGTCCGAAGCCGAGCGGCTCCAAGAAACACGCGTGTACCACGTAGCCACCGGTAACCGCGGCAAGCGTTCCACTCCTCGTGCAAGGAACCCCTTCTATCAGCGATCCGGCGCGCTATCTCTGACGCCGCTCCGTCGTCGAGAAGAACAATGCCAGAAGACGGGCACGGGAAGCGCGAGGACTTTCGGCTGACGAAACTGACATTGATCCAATTTTCCTAGATCACGGGACGTGTCAGGGGGTCAGGAACGAAGAAGGGAGCCCTACTCGCAGAGAGAAGAACACCGAGGAGAGGCCAATACAACAAGAGGAGGCACGCGAGGAGAGGTGGTGTTTGACATTGGGTCGTTCGATGGTGGTTAATATTGAGAACTCTGAGACAAACACAACCACGCGACCTGGGCTCGTTCGTACACGCTGAAAATCAGCGTTTTATCGTTGTGTCCGCGGCGGGTGGGCTGTGTGCAGGTGAGACAACGCCGCGTACACGGACACGCCGGCTGATTTAAAGGCTGTCACATGCAACATCTGCCAATGCAATCGCACCACTCAAGGTTGACGATCCCCACCGACACCGGCCGGCCGGGCTTCTTCGATAGTTATAATTTACTATAAAACGGCAAAACGATCCCGATACTTTTAGACTTTTCACGCCCGCCACCACAGCCACCATATCATCACGCCGAGCAGACCACCAGCACCGAAATCCGGAGTAGCCACCTGTACACACCGTGCAAGACACGTCCATACACGCCGCGATGCAACGGATACTCGTGATCCTGCTGTGTGCGTGCTGTTTCAGCTACGCGTTGCCCCCAGTGGTAAGTTTCACTCGTATGTTTCTTTTTTAGAACCGGGTGGCATTGTTTCGATGAAATTCGGGGGAAATACTCGTGTGTCTCGGATGATCGGTTTTTCACTTGTTTTCCTGTTGGCTGCTCGCGTTTTGGGGATAGGGCGACTTGGAAGGGTGTCAGCTGGAAATGTTAGTTGGATGAAATGATCTGGGATATTGATCAGAGTTTAAAATGTATCTGGGGGTTTTAGAAGTTGAACGTTTCGAAGTAGTTTTTAGGGGTTCGACGAACTTGCCGTTCTGATTACGAATTTTTCATTTGCTCCAGCTTTCTGATGTGTTTTGCTTTTGCTTTTATTTGCTTCAGGTAAAACGGATCAATAAGAAGTACCTGCCCACCTCGAACGTTCAAACACATTACAACATCACGAGTGCCGATGCTGAGGAGCTGAAACCCATAGACGATGTGACTTACATCGATTTCAATTCGCCGGCTTCGAGTCCTTCGAAGAGACCCAACGTCTGCGACGATTGCGGTAAATTGAACGAAATATAAATGTCGATTATATGCTTTTACTTAGAAGGGGTGAGAGATCACTGAACACCAAAATAACGGGCGGTGAGCTTTGAATCTGCGACGAAATTTGTTAACGAGTATTAATCTGATTATCGATGTATCGGTGAAGAGGATTTACCAGTTACGAACCTTTATGGTTACTTTTAAACTTAATAACAGTGTAAATTTCCATTTCTCTGATATAGTGTCAATAATCTGATGGTCGATATATTACAAAATTGAAATAGATTCACCGATTATAAAAATTGTTGATTATTGTTTTCCGACTTAATAACAGTTTAAATGTGTATATTTCGATTGCAGTGTGCGGAGTAGGTAGAAAAATAAGAATCGTCGGTGGGAACGTAACCAGTGTCTACGAATATCCATGGATGGTAAGCATGAGCAATCACGGTACATTCTTTTGCGCCGGAAGTTTAATCACTCGAAGACACGTGCTCACGGCGGCTCATTGTATGGAGGGGTGAGTATTGACGTATCATTGCGTATTAAAATACAAATTAACAGAAGAACAGCCAGCATGTCGATCGATGATATTAACTGATTTTAATACATCAAGATATCCTATATACAAAACTTTAAAATACAAGTTATTTTGACTAAAGCCAAAAAATAATCACCAACAAAGGTCCTTAACACGTTGAACGCCGCACGATTTCATAGAGCAAAATACACAAAATGAAAAAATATAATATTAAATCCTTTGATTGAATTGCATTGTTATTATTGCATTGTTCTTCTAGCTAAATGTCACGAAATTAAGTAGCATTATTTGTAATATAGAAATGTTTCCAAATAATGGTCGTTTAATTGAGTGAACTATAGTAATTCAATTTAGTTGGGGGTCATCGATGACCCCCATGACAGTCAGCGTGTTAATAGTATTTTCAACGTGAAATAAGAAATTTGAAATGCGTCATTTCGACGGGCTTGGCTGTGTAGTGTTAAGTTGCATTGTTACCGAACTCGGTTCACCTTTATTCGTTCATAACAAACATTAGCAAATATTTTTTAGATATCATTTGGAAATTTAGTATCAATTGTCGGCGTGAAGAAGCGAAAATATTTGTTCAGAAATCATTTGGTTTAGTATAAATTATCAGCGCGAAGTAAGGTGAATGATAATCAATTACCGTTCATTCCAGATTCGACATAAAGAGCATCAAGTTAACTTTAGCTGACAGCGACCGTCCAAATTTGAGCAAGACCGCGATAGTGCGCCGCATCAAGTCGGTCTCTATCCACGAAAACTTTCACTCGTACACGTTCAACAACGACATCGCCATCGTCGAAATGGATCGTCCGGTGGACGTGAATGGTATCGTGAGAACTGCATGTCTGCCCGAAGACAGTGAGTATTCGCGTTTTGCCGAAGAATTATGCAACAATTCCGCGAAAAAGGAGAACGGGTACAGTGGACAGTCGATTTGAGACAATCGAATCTAGAATAATTCAGATTACGAACAGATGCAATTGACTAACATGAAACGAAGCGTCTACGAGGAAATAATACTGGAACAAAATTCAATTAGAATATACAAAAATAATAGTAAACATTCAGTCGTATGACGGTTTCCTATGATTCTCTTCTCGAAAGAAGTAGCTTACAGAAAACTTTCCATTGAACGTAACGTTCCAATCAAAAAACATTCGAACGGTTTCGTTAGGTCACTATAATCCATAATAGACTTCCACAGATAACGATAAGCAGTGCAGAGAAGTCAGACCAGAAATGTCCGTAACTACTTCATCACTGCCTCACGTGTGTACGTGCGAATTCGTAACTGGATGAAAAGTAAAACTCGTTCCCTTCAAAATTTACACGATTCTTTATGTTCACGTTACATCTGTTACCTCGGTTAAGTGTCTAAACTTGTAGCGATAATTGTAAACATTCAATTCTTCACGAAAGGTAGATGATCTCGACGCTAGCTATCTTATTTAGTGTTAATTCGTGAATTTTCCCCAATGTTGCTCGTTCGATACGAAAGTTAGGTGATCTTAGTAAAAGTACCGCGACAGTGAATCTACAGAAAGTTGTATAAAAGTTAGAGGATTTGATTTCTTAGGTATTGAATGTTAGAAACGAAACCGTTGAGACATCCTGTACCATTTCCAGAAGCAATCGATTATACTGGAGCAACGGCTACGGTGGTCGGCTGGGGTCGAACCGGAGAGGATAAAGCTGTGAGCAATGAATTGCGAAAAGTTAACCTTCCAATCTTATCTCAGGAAGAGTGTGATCAAGCCGGATATCAGAAAAAGCGGATCACTGAGAACATGTTCTGCGCTGGCTACTTGGAAGGCGAACGTGATGCCTGTTTCGTGAGTTTTCACCTCTTTCCGCCTCATTTCTGTTCGTCGTATATTTAATCGTATAATAAATGTAATCAATTAATATTCTATTAATCACTTGCCGTGCGATTTCTTTCTCGACTGTGATCGATACGATCAATTGATCGTTAATGTTTTATCGAGAAACAGAGAAGCATATTCGATAGGAGAAAAATATTATTTATTCTGAATTCGAAAGAACAGAGTAATATTTACGTTCATTCCATTTTGTTTGAAATTATCGCCACGAATCTTACGCGATGTTACAGGGCAAGGAGTTAAGAGATTTTTAAATTGCAATCGAGTAATCAACTATGAGGAACATCTGCGATTGTTAGATCACACGTTATCTCTCCTATGATTTACGTATTTAATCTTTTCATGATGATAATATTTCCCTGATGCATTTCTTTATGGCCCAGTACATCTAAATACCGATGATTTAGTTCGATAATACTGATACTGACATTAAATTCAGAGATCTACCATTATTTTCTTCATGTTAAAATCAAAATACAGAGAAAGACAAAGAATGTTGGTCTCGTTGAAGTCTTTACAATCACCACATTTACTTATAGTCCAATTAAAATAGTGAATCGATTGCATTGTCGTAGATTAACGCAATAAAAAGAATATTTCAATGATAACTGATTGTACTAAAAATAGTGGGTATCTTCGATTTAAAGTTTTATGTTGCTTTCAGGGTGACAGCGGCGGTCCTCTTCACATAAAAGGAACCTACGGACACCTCGAAGTAATAGGTGAGACTTTAAATAAATGTTCGTTACAGTTATGACAATTCAATCGAAGAATTTGTCATGTTTCAATTGAGAAACGTGAATTGTTCATTAAATATTTTCACGTGACGAATTAACTCTTTGTACTATGAGACTTCTTTCACTACCGTGCTCGATGAAACTACTTTATCATTAATCATTTATCAGAATAAGACAAGAATTTGTAATTTATTCTAGTGCCATGTTTACCCTAACGGTTGACGACTGATAATAGAAATTTATATTCAAAGAAAGTACACGAGATCTAGATTTGTCGAGTTCAGTTTAAAGTTTTCGTTATTGGACACTGATTGTAGAACAGAGTACAGAATGTAATAATACTTAATACAGAATATAATAAAAGTAACGAACACAGAAAGTAACGAAGTATACGACATGAATACTTCGATTCACTGAAGCCATTTTGCGTCGAGTTTAGTTTAAAATTTTCATTTTAAACACGTTATTGTAGGACATAATGCGGAACGTAATAAAAATACTTGATACAGACCATAATAAAAGAAACGAACACGGAAAATAATAAATAGAGAATATAAGAAAAATGATAAATACAGAAAGTAACGAATTATACGACATAAATCCTCCGAATCGCTAAAGCCATTTTTTGCGCAGGTATCATTTCATGGGGTCGTGGCTGCGCGAGACCAAACTTCCCAGGTATCTACACGAAACTGACTAATTATCTCGGTTGGCTGAAGGACCGTCTCGATGACGAATGCGTGTGCCCGCCGCCTCGTCACTAACTTCTTGACAAACCTCGAAACCACAACACTCGACTAGGTCAAAACATAATCGTTACTTTAAACAAACAGACGAAGAAACGACCAAGCACCTTTCCAACCTTAAACCTATGTTAGTACCTATTCAGCTGTATAAGACAACCCAGTGAAACTAGAACGATCAGTATTAAGATATAGTACATACGATAGTCCCCGCCATCGCGTGCTCTTGATTATTTCCGTATTCAGTATGGCAAAGATATATCTGTAAATAGCTGCAAACCGCTTACCATCGAGTTATCGTTTTGAATCATTAATTTATTGTTATCGTTAATTCGTTGCACTTAATTAAGATAAATCTAGTCCTATGTACATAAATACACGAAGAAGTGCCGTGCCTCTGTCGTGTCGCATTTCCTGTAAAAATGATTGTTAAATAAAGAGTATATTTACTAAATATTTCTGCGACACTCCGTATTTATATGCATAAACTGTTCCCCAATAAAATCCACGGTTAAGCGCGAAGAATATTGTATACTGGTTAATTTCACTTCGAAATGAAATGTGTTTAACTAGATTCATTTGAACGTTACATTATTATTTGTATATTCGATTACCTTGATATTTTCATAACATAAAGAAGGAACAAGATGTATTGCGACGATAATTCAGATAGTTAATTCGTTAAATAGACTGAAAATGAATAGACAAAAGCGCATGGATCCTCTTTTTGTCTGGAAAAAAACCCGAAACGGATCGGGCTCGAGTAAACCGGTAAAAAGTAACGGTCGTTGAAAAGCCGGCTCGAAAAAAGGCGTAGACGCCGTGTAAAGATGTTAGATAAACGACGGAGTCCTCGATCGAGATGAACGGGCAATAACAGAAACCGGGTCAGTAGTCAGAAACGTTTTGCTTTCAATGGTGAATGTGGGTTAGTGAAACCTCCAGACCGTTACCGGCGACTCCTGATTCTTCCCGAATTGAAACAGGAATGGCAGCTTTTCGAACTGATAACAAAGCGATCTTGACGCAGCTCTGTTTCATTTTCGAAGTGTTCAATAATTATTTCAACAACGACCGTTCGTTTAACCGCGCGCGTATCGAAAGTTAATTTTAAACAGCTGTAAAACGGTCGTGAAAACGAGTAACAGTCGTAGAAATCGCTTCAAGTCGGAGAAAATGATACTAGGATTACGCAAAACACTTTGAAGTGGGTCTATGGTTCAAATTGAATTTTAATTATGAAAAGACAACTGTCTCGGTGTGAACGTTACACGAAGTTTCGTTTTAATCCGAAGAAGGTCAGTAATTCGTTGAGATGCAAATTAATGTAGTTTCCTCGATCGAGAAGTAGTTGTTAATTATTTGGTAGTAATGTTTTTGGTGTACAAGTATTTAAAGGGTTTTAATATTTATTGGTAAGGTTTTAACACCAGCTACCAGCATCACATATTTGTGACGACCATAATCCTACATTTTACATAATCACAATGAAATTAATCTTATAGATATCGTTATTAGAAATTATAAACTACGATATTATATTTAGAAACTCAGTGACTCGTTTCTGTTTCAGTCCTCTATTCTGTTTAGAAGATTTATTGGATTGAAGAAACTATTATAATTGGGGGACCGTCACCGAAATAAGGTAACAAACGTGTTAAATTGATCCCAACTTATATTGGCCAATAATATATCAGATATTTCATATATTTCATAAATTTCATACACATAATACATAAAACACAACGACCTCCAAGTCGCTCCAAACAACAGAACCATCAAATATTCCAAATCTCCCTGAAACCCCTAACAAAGAGGACGATCCTAGCAAATAATTCCCCGAAGATTGCGACAGGCGACCACATGACGGTCAAACCAAGCGCGAAATAAACTGCGAAACTCCAGAACAATTTCGCCGAAACAACGAACTTTTTTAATAATATCGTTTCGCGGACATATATCCGCGGTTCCGTTGCGTCTTCCACGGAACTTCATCGGTCCGTCGAAATCGTCGTCCACGCCCGTCCCGGTCGGCCAGTAAAAGAGAAATTTTTTTCGAAAGGGTACCGAAAGCGTGTGTTTAATTTGCAGAGTGGGGCGGTCGGTTCGAATGAATAAAAGTGGTGCGACATACCGTGGTGGGAGGCTCTTTTGGCTCTGGGAGAGGACCACCGCGCGAAGATAGCACAGATGAGTACGCGCTACTTACTCATCCTGGTCGGAAATCGAATCAAGGACTTCCGTTCGCGGTTCGACCATTAAAGCCCGTTGAAATCGCGAGAATCCGCGCGCCGTTTCGCCCAGACGCTTCGACCAGTTCACCGTGGAATTAAAACTCTCGCAGGGTGCGCGATAAAATCAATTAGTATACGCGACCAACGCGGGACAGATTTATTAGATTCTTCTAAATGTAAAAGTAACACGAAAGTAACACAAAGTAACTTGCCAACTGAACAACTTAAACTCGAAACTGAACGACAGCATAGGCGCGCCTACCGTACGCTAGAATAGAAAATCGAAGCGAAATGAACAAAAACTGGATACTCGTTCGGAAAAGGTAACCGATCGTTGAAGGAACTCGTATTAGTCTATGTTCTACAACGAACACACTCGCCGAGCACGGTTAACCAGCTGAAAAGTCTCCCTTTACGCTGGAGAAAGGTCGGCAAAAGTTTTCGGTTAGTGGAAATTAGGGTATCGGCGTAGAGCAGCCGGCGTAGGGAACTATAAAAAGCGATCCCGGCCGATCGATGACCAGTGATAGTCGCGTGACACGGATCCTCGGGCACGAGAATCTTGCCAATTTCGAATCGAGAGGATCACGTGCGATCAGCGTCGCGTACTGAATGGGAAGAGCAACAGGACACGGACAAAGAACTTTCTTCGCGAGCCGTTGAACGGCTGCTCGGTCAGTACGGCGTGCTCGTGGTGGCAAGGTGAAAGCGTCTGCATCACGGCCGCTGATCTCCTGCAGCTTCTGGATGAAGTACAGGGCCAGAAGGTGAAGAAGATCTATGAGCGGCGGACGGTGCACGGGCAGGCGATAGAATGCGCGATCATGAGGAGGCCCGTGGACGAGACGACCGCTTAGGAAGCCCGCTGGGTGGCCCAGGTGAAATTCTCCTGTGACATTTTCATCCAGCCGCTCGCCTCGCTGATCGCACGAACCATCGGAAGATGACTGTCACGAAAATCTGGATCCTCTTCGGCTCCCTACTGGTGCTGTTCGGTCACACCGCCTGCTTGGACGTCCGACTCGCGAGGGATGATCCGATGCCCGCTGACAATCGCTCTGTAAGTACTGCTAGGGGATCGCTTCATGGATAGGCTAATCGATCAGTTTTCATTCTTTCTCATCTAATTTTCTCTTACTTTTGTTTTGTGATTTATAATATCTTCTATCGCTGATTTGATATTCGTTAATTCTCCTCGCCTAATTTTCTGTTACTTTTATTATTTTATCTTATTTTACTCTAACCAATTGAGACTTTTGCCTCTGTGTCTTTTCGCTGGACATCGAGTAATCTTCTGTTCTGCTAGAGAATCACTTGATAGCTAGGCTTATTGGTCAGTTTTCATTCTTCCTCATCTAATTTTCTGTTGGCTTTGTTTCCCAATTTTCAATATCTTACATCGCTAGTTTGCTGTTCATCAATACGGTTACACGTAATCAATCGAAACTATAAAACTGTGAAGTAGAAAGACACATTTTGCACCTGTGTCTTTTCACTAGACATCGAGTCATCTTCAAACTGTATGGTCGAATCTGAGATTTTGCTTTCTGCCTGAATTCCTATGTGTTTTCACCAAAAGAGATTGGGATAATCGTTTAGGAATATTGTAATGATAGCATGATCGATAGAGTGAAGGGGTGAAGCTTGATTCATTGGAGATGACTTTTACTAATGTGAATTGAGAATAGTTTCTATTGAGATTGATGATTGCCGGTTGCAAAGGCGCTGTGAAAGTCGGCTCGACAATAAGAAATTTAAAGGCAAGTGATAGGTATTATTAAGTAGTTAATGTAAGTGATTTCGAGATTAATTACTGTAAAAGCTAACTTGGTTAAGTAAATAACATTACTTTCGTATGGAAGAGTGATCATTGAAAATTAGACACTCGATCGAAGCGAAAGTTGATTCGATCTTTATTATATTTTAGAATTGTTATACTTTTTAGGGTAATGGTTACAGTTTTCTAAATAAATTCTACTGATTTAGTGCGGTAGATTTCTAGTTTGCTGGTGTAAACTGGAATTTAACGGCAAAGACCTTGACCCACCATTCGTGGTCACTGTCTCCGATCGTCCTTACTTATTTGCCAATGGAAAGTGAGCGCTCTGTGGAAGTGTTACAGCGGCGAGTTTCTTTCAGGCGACAGATTCGACACACAACCGAAAGGGCAAGTTCCTGTTCGACGAATTATTTGGTCTTGACATATCCGTCGGTGGGGATAGCGACGATGAAGTGTCGCGGAATTGTACGTGCGGTAAGACTATACATAAATTATCGGCGTTTTTTTTAATCGCCATTTTTGCTACATTGTATTTTTATTCATTACGTCGTGCCATAAGTAATGACGTTTGTTTGACGACAGTTTGAATGAAAGTTTGAAAATTATAAACGTAACTAGTAGAATATTCAAAAAACTCAGTGTCCGTTTATTAATAATTATTTTCATAATTATTCTGATATATGATTTATATGATTTTATATTAATAACGTCTTTGCAATTAATAATGTTTTTTCATCCTACCGAACGTTAAAAATTTTACGTATACATAGAAATTCGAATAACAATGATTTTTAAGGCTTGATTATCCCGCGTGGCTTGTAACTAACCTTTTTACTAACATTAAATCAAATGGACATTTAAAAGAACCGTTTAAGTAGGTTTAGAAATTCAGTTTTGTCCCCTCAAACTTTCTTTCGCTGTTCATCATCCAAATTCCCCGCCATTATTGGCATTCTTAGATTCCCAGCCGATCTTTTTACTTTCCTATAGTAAATTACCATCTTCTATCGCCGGTTTACGAACTTTCTATCCTGACTAACAATATCGCTAATTATTTGACAGTAGACCGGAGATTTTATATATTCGTAAAACACGCAATAAAGTTTGTTAAAGATTTTATTCTGCGTACAGCCCGATAGGATATTCAGCAGTGAAAATGCAATAAATATTGCTGATGTATATCATAAACCACTGAATTTATATTTCATAAAATTTAAAGAGGTCGATCGTTTACGGAAAAGAGGAGTAATTTATAACAACTATTTAAATGTTTGAATATTTAAATATACGGTATTCCATTGTTATAGATCTCTGCAGGATTCATGTTACAAAAGATATTGATAAAACTGGTTTTCATTCGTAGCGTGGCGAAAGTGTAATTGAAAAATCACTTTCCTTCGTGTTCCTTTGACGACTATGTAGTTACATCACGCAACAGAATTCACACTTGACCGTCATTATAGTCTAGGAGTCGCAACAGTACAGATGAAAAAGAAACATCAACATCCTAAGCATGTAACAGATACAATTAGCTTAATTCCTTTGCCATATGATTTTCTTCGCGAGTTCACTCAACTAACGAATTTTACTGTCAATAATTTGCAAAAAAAAATTTTAAGAAATGTTTCAAACTATGAAGCTAAAATATTGAAAGTAGGATCAAACGATTCCAACAAATCCCTTAACACTAGAACCACCGAACAATCAAATTGACTTTTTGAAATTTTTCTGTGGAAACTTCAACAGTGCTATTGATGTTTCCATTGATTTACAATTCGTTTTTAATCATTCTTAAAGAAGCAATCAGGAATGGGTCATTTTGACCTCTCTGGTAGTTTTAGTGTTAAATATCATGGCATAGAAACTGATTAATTGCATAATATAGAAATCTAAATCAAATTTCAAAACCAATTTCAAATGGAAATTTTAAAAAGAATTTCAAATCAAGTTCAAAATTCTAAAAACAATTTCAAACCAAATTCAAACTTTTGAAAACAAATTTACTAGACAGAAGGAAAATATGTTTTCTCATTAGCTTCGCGAAATGTCGCCTTTATCTCGCCGAAGAAAGCTAAATTGTCGGTTGCGGTATATTTAATGTAAACATCGATTCCACAGACAACGTTTCTTCACGTATCCTCAACACGTTCAATGCCACGCGATTACATAGACCAAAATACACGAAATGGAAAAAATATAATATTAAATTATTTGATTGAATTGTATTATTGTCATTGTATGTTCATCTAGCTGAATATCGCCGCATTAGGTAGCATAATTGGTAATATAGAAATGTTTTCAAGTAATCATAGTTTAACTGAGTGAACTATAGTAATTCGATTTAGTTGGGGGTCATCGGTGACCTCCATGATATTCAACGTGTTAATTGTGAAGAGGCAACGTCTCGTCTGTGGCAGTACCTTCGACTGTTACGCAGATGTAACAATCTCCTTTAGAAAACATTTCTCGACTCGTGTTTGCTCTTTTCGAAGGACCAATGGCGCGTAATAAGTAGTAACGAACGAGAATTTTCTTTTCAGAATGCGGTTTGTCCAATCAAGAGAATCGAATCGTCGGTGGAAGACCCACAACCCCAAACAAATATCCGTGGGTAGCTCGGCTGGTGTACGAGGGTCGCTTTCATTGCGGGGCCAGTCTCGTTAACAATGATTACGTTATTACAGCGGCTCACTGTGTACGTAGGTAGGTCTCTGATTTTCTCTACGAACGACACAAGAAAATCGCCATAGAAAAATGTGATATCATTGCTGGACTCGTGGGGTTCGTGCGTTCATAAATAGAACTAATAAAGAGAAACATTACAATCTACCGTGTAATCGAAATTTATCGTTCATTCATTTATCCGCAAGTTCGCTGCTATATAATGAACTTCGAAAATCGGCTTTCAATTGAACTTTCTTCTACTGCCTTTTTTTCGTCCTACTGTTCCGTGAAAATGTGCACTCGCACGGGAACAATCGAACCTCGTTTTCTTCGTAATTGCTCCTTTTACATTTTACCTGTTCGAGGTTTTATTGCGATTTCACGGTTTAATTTGCACAGGCAACATTGCGAACAACACCGTGTAGCCTTTACAGAATTTTTAATTACGACTTACATTCGGAGGAAAGTTCTTCCGTAGGTTTCTAGGAAATCGCTTCTAGTACGAGACCGAACATGTTTTCTAGGTTGAAACGTTCGAAAATTCGCGTGGTTCTCGGAGATTACGATCAGTATGTGAACACGGATGGGCGTGCAATAATGAGGGCGGTGAGCGCGGTGATTCGTCACAGGAACTTTGACATGAATTCCTACAATCACGACGTCGCGCTGCTGAAGCTTCGGAAATCGGTGAAATTCACGAAAAGTATTAGACCGGTCTGTTTACCCCAAAAAGGTAAGGAATCCTAGTAAAAGGTAACTATAAAAAGGAATTAATAATAAAACTTTCAAATTTCGCTTGTTATTCTGTTGTCTACTGTATCATAATATGAAACTGTTGCTTTATAAACTCTTTGCGCTTCATTTATAACTCTTCCTTTTCTCTGCTAAAGGGCACCTGTTTCAAATGAATAAATAAATAAATAAATAACTAAAAAGTTTCTATAAAATTTCTGTTGCTCACATTGTGTTCGTGTTGATATTATAAAAATGTGCGTAAATGTTCGCAGGCGCCGATCCCGCCGGAAAAGAAGGAACCGTGGTAGGTTGGGGTCGGACATCGGAAGGGGGGATGTTGGCAGGAATAGTTCAGGAAGTGCAAGTACCGATATTAAGTTTAATGCAATGCCGTAAGATGAAATATCGAGCCAATCGAATTACAGATAACATGATTTGCGCCGGCCGCGGTAGTCAGGACTCTTGTCAAGGTGACAGCGGCGGTCCTCTTCTTGTGCAGGAGGGTGACAGACTTGAAATTGTTGGTGAGATATTCGTATTAAATGTTACTAATAATTAGTGTTGCATATCGACATAACGAATGCAAGATTTGTGATCGTATGAACTGTTAACATGTTGACTGCCACGAATAGCGTCAGCGTTTTATGTATCGCTTATTCTTTCTACAGCAAAGATTAAAAGGAAGAATTATTAATTATTTGCCAGTCAACGTGTTAACAATGTTTCAGGGATCCCATCGCGAATTATGATACACAGAAATTAAACTGCAGTTCTATTAAGTTCGTGCTTGTACCAAAAGAATATTCAATTGAAAAAATAGAAATATTCAATAATTCAATGTATCAATGTTCGATCAATATAATATAAATAATATATAGAATATTCAATTAATAAAATACTTTACTTAGCGGTTAATTAGAAGTGCATGTACAATTTTTAGAATTCGTTTCACTTGCAGTACGTATGTAAAGTGTGAAATGTTTTACAAATTGGAAGAGTGAAATTACAGATTGTATGTTGGAAATTTGCTCGGAGAATATAAGACTGATTTATGGTTCCTGTCGTCCATTAACCGGGTAATTGGATATACCAATTGTCCTCGATTCGAAGGAGCAGGAATTTCCGAAATGATTTCGTACGCAGCGCAACTTTCTAACCGTCCTGTATCCTTTGAATACAGGAATAGTTTCCTGGGGCGTTGGATGTGGGAGAGCTGGATATCCGGGAGTGTATACTAGAGTGACCAGATATCTGAATTGGCTGAACGCGAACATGAAAGAAGGATGCATTTGTGCAAGCTGATAAAACCTCTATTGGTTATCCCGGTTCAGAAAATTTATTGATTCCGCCAATTTATAACACAGCGATACACGAGGAATGAACACGGAGCTGCGAGAATAACGAACCGTAAAACTACGGGAATCGTACTTGTTGTTACAGGACTTAATATTATTAAAGTACGATTTACTTGACACTTAAATACCACTAATCGACGAATCGAAGATACGAACTGTAAATTAGAACACGTATACATATAGTGTAAGTTTACCGGTTTCGCGAAATTATTTATTATTTATATTGTACATAGTTTTGTAGGTCACAGTACTTCTAATAATTCACTCGAACTTAAGGAACAAATGGTACTGTATTTTAATGCTCGTAGCTTAAGTACTAAAGTTCCTTGTAAAGTCATTTGTATTTTTGTAAAGCAGACATAAACTCATCTGTAAATACAGTAAAATATCTAATAGAGGATTAATAGAAATTTAATCTTTTCTTATGAATCTTCTGCGATTATTTATGCGTCTTTCATTTCAATGTTCCCTTAACCCCTTGCTCTACGATTCATTTCTCAACTATGGTCGATACAACTATTTCGTTAATAATTTATTCAAAAAATGAGAAAAATTCTATTCTATGCCCATGTTTGCTGTAAAGTATAACGATTGACAACAGAAGAAAAATATTTTATCTGAATACACGAGAATCGAGTAACATTTCTGCCTCTTAAGTTTTATTTAAAATCTCCACCGCGAGTCTGACACGTTATTACTAGGCAAGGGGTTAAGTACTTAATGTTCTTTGAGAATTCTATAGAAAAATTCCAGTTTTCGTTTATTTCTAAGAAAAACATTACAGTATTCAAAGGACACCGTGTAATTCCCTGTACTCGTGACACACCTATTGTAGCATGAATAGCGGCCGAACGTCGCTGGCATAATTACAAGCGTGTGTAACGGTTCACGTCAAACCAGGATTAAGTTAATGAAACGTACATTCTGCTGAAAGCAGAACGACAGTATGCACGCCGATGCATCGCGTGTGTTCGATAATAATACTCAGCCGTCGTGCATCTGTTGCACGAAATGCAATTTCACCGAATTTATTTGTTCCCAGTACACGAAATTTCAATGTACAGCAACATCAACGTGTTTGCCAATTATCTCGAGGTAAAGTGTGTCACCGTGGATCGTATACAGAAGGATGCAAGGAATTTGAAATAATTTCAATCGTCGAAAGAAAAGTACACATTTTAAAACATATAGACTTACACGTTTCCAACCAGGCATCGAAATCACCAGAGCACGAACCGAGAGACTACGAAAATTGATTGCCTCGCCGCCTAATTAGAATCGTGGTTTCCATTTTCGTTCGAAATGGAACATTGTTGCCAGTGACTCGCAACGGTTGCAACTCGAATATCGCGATAATCATAACTTTCAACGAGCAAGCCTTCTTCGTGGATAAATAAAAATTCCTCTCGATCGCATCGTCACGAAATTACGAAAACAATTTTTTTTTCGGCTCTCACGAATCATACAGCGGAGGAGAGACGTGGACGCATCGTAATTTAGCTGAAAGTGGAAAAACCAGACCTTAATGGCCCCATCGGCTGGGAACGTCTCTTTCTACCTTGAAGCGATGGGACATCGTTAATGTGAGACGGTCGCAATAAAACGGCACCAAATGACACACCAGGCTGGTACATAATAAGAACTCTGCGTATAATGAGATACATATACGTGGCCATAAACTTCTCGCGTGGAATCTGCATAATGAATACTGGAGGACGATTTTTGGGTGCGTCGAAGCGAGTTTGGAAGCGAGTCGCGTCGAAAATGGTCGGATACCTTTTAGGTAAATTCTAAATATACTAAAATAAAGGGAACCACCATTTTCAAACAATTAATACATACGTTTCTCTATTAATTGTCAACTTCACAGTCGTGAAGAAACGACACGAATTACTGCTTTCTCGACGATGATCACTTAACACTAAACGTACCGGTACTTTGTTATTATAACTGGTTATAAAACAAAGGTAAAGAAATGAAACGATAATCTTTTTCTAGTGAACACAGAAACGAATGGAAAGACGACAATCGAAAAACTGATTAATCGAACGATGTAAGAACTGATAAAGTCGAATGGACCAAAGAAAATCCAGAATTTTCAAGCAGATTTTAAAACCGGTCATTTGATCGGTCATAGTACGTTCAGTGTAACACATTGTTGACCGGTCACGAGTTAACATGCGTTTGCACTCGCACCGCCCATTTCAATGTTTGAACCGCAGGACAATATAGAATATTGCAAAAGTAAATATTAAAAGTTATATAAAAGGTATGTCAGAAGTTTCACTTCAATTCATTATACATATATAAATAAAGTATATCGAAGTTTATTCAGATTGTTTCACTGTCATATTTAATTACGGGATAATGACCGGTGACATAGGATAGCTTCTACGTAAAATTGCCGGTCAACAATGTGTTAATGCGAGGGGTTAACACACGGTCACATGTAACCAATGCGAACTATGAACAAAACACATGGCACGAGACCCCTCTCTGCCCTTGTGCCGTGACCAGGCAGATCTCGCGAACAACGCATAGTATGTACTAGCCGTCAGGTCAATTAGCGTTCGAGTAAGGAAAAAAACTGGGAAACATCGGGGATCGATGGAATTCGTTCAAGAAGCACCGTGACCCTGATGACGGTCAATAACAGTCATCCGTAATTCGACCCTGAACGTGAACGTCAACTGGTCAGGTACTGTCCAGTCGCCGACCAGTCGGCTGTGCCCTCCTTCTCTTCTGGAATAGCAATTACCTCTTCGACCTGGCTCGCCCTCAGTTGCCGTGGGACACTGGCGACAGTAACTCCTGGCCAAGGACATGTCCGTAATGTCTCGTCCATGACATTGCCCGCGCGGCGAATCCTTCATCGACAGAATCGTTCCCTTTTTGGTACGTGACGCGCGAAAGTTCACACCAATAAAACAGGATCCAGCCAGGTCACGGAAAATGAGGTTCTCGCGGTGCCTTGGAGTGTGCGTGGCTCTACTAGTACTCCTATCGGACCATTGCCAGGTGAGTTTATTTTTGGAAGAAATTGTTCGACTCGCGGCGTAAATAGAATCAACGCGTTCTCGGGATTTCTTTTCCATTTCCTCATCGGAGACGAGGATGTTTGGTTAACGCTAGATTTAACGGGCATTTGTTGTACAGGGTGGAACGAAATGTTCGGGTTTCGGAACAAATTCAATTCTGTATCATTTATCGTGCTGTTCGTAGGAGAACTGGTTTTCGTTTGGATCTTGGAGATCGGGAATTTAAGAATGGACAATTGACCCATTTGCATCTTTATCGTGTACGTACGCTGAATTTTCCAGGTCATTATCAGAGAATTGATTGTGCCGTTATATTTTCCGATAGTTAGAGAATAAAAACGAAAAGTGTTATCGGAAATGAAAGTAGTAATTCTGATTAATAGTAGTTCTTTTTACTTATTGTAATTTTTCTGGTTAAATCAAGTTAGAAGAAAAACTGGCGATAAGGGCTTCCTTTTTCACACTTCCTCATGATCCAAATAGGTTAACATACATATTCGTGCAACTGCATTGATGAATATTTATATAAATATTCATGAAATAATGTTTATAAATTCGATATACGTCAAATTGACGCGTTCCAGAAGTGTCAAATAGCAAACCGTTGTCTCGAGATGGAAAACGGTCATTAGGAGATATTAATGTTCTTTTGTTAAGTTTTGTTGATTAGTGGAACGAAGTTCGATATTGGCCTTCGTTTATCTGAAGAACAATAATATTCGAAAGTGTAAAGATATAGTTCACTGTCGAGAATTTTCGTTGGTATCGTTGAGACTATGGACAGTCGTGTGTCCTTTACAAGTGTTTCAAGAATTTATTTTCCTTGCGCGATAATTGCGATACGAGTCTGTATAGAGTAATAAGTAAGAAAGGATAAAATGCTGTTTAGAGTGATATCTGATACGAGTGCGACAAGTTTCGGGAAACGATCGCTTAATATAAACGGAACACTTTTAGGCAGACACGTTCGCTGAGAAGGTGAAAAACTTTTTTGGAATCTTCGGCAACAAGCCGCCGGCCGCAGTGGAATCGCCTGCGCCATGTTACTGCAGTGAGTATTGTTATTATCGTTCGAAGCAATTCATTTGCCTATTAAGATAAATAAGTAACGACAGTGTTGTACTATTTCATAAAATCGTAAAAATCGTTGCTGTAGCATTCATCGTTGCACACCGGCACTCGATTAACATGTTGAATGCCCCGACCACATGAAATTACTATAGTTCACACGATTAAACGATGATTATTTGAAAACATTTCTGTACAATAAACAATGCTACCTAATGCGGTGACATTCAGCTACACGAACGCGCAGTAATAATAATGCAATTCAATCCAATGATTTAATATTATATTTTCTTCATTCTCTGTATTTTTGCTCTATGAAATCGTGCGGTATTCAACGTGTTAACGAAGTTGAACAATTGAGGCACTCAGTCGTTGAAATGAGCAGGTTGCGGAGTACGGAACGAGGAAAGTCGGATAGTTGGCGGTCAAACGACTCATGTCAACGAATTTCCATGGATGGCTAGGCTTTCGTACCTGAACAAATTTTACTGTGGCGGTACTCTGATAAACGACCGTTACGTTCTCACCGCGGCCCACTGCGTCAAAGGGTAAGTTCGACCGCAAACAAATTTTCTTACTACCGGAACTCCCGATCATACCGAGGAATTAGCCTGACCAACGAATTAATTGAAAGTTGAACTTCGTTCAAACCTGCTCGATTCGATGTGAATAATAAATCGGAATCGTTTATTATAGCGTGTTCGTTCAATTCAGAAAATTGGAAACGCAGTTTCTAAATTACGTACATAGCTCGAGTTCCTGAGCTTTCATCGCTGCTTCAATGTCAGCTCACGTATTAGGTGATCACGCGTTCATTAACCCTTTGCACTCGAAAAGTTTTTCATTAGAGAGATATTCAAAACTTTCTTTTGAAATATGGACGACATTCTTTGAATTTAAATAATGAGAAAACACAAACTAAGGAACCAAGCTGTTTTAGTTGAATATTTCACATACCGATGCATTGTACAACACTTAATATTCTACATGAGACCTTTTAACTTTGTTATATCAAATCAAGTGGTGAATGAAACGGTGAATTCTCGAGTACAAAGTGTTAACAAGCAAGTTCGACGATGAAACTAGAGAAAACTATCTCGCTACCTTTTCTAAGTCTCAATTTAAATTGCTAATCATAATCCTGTTCTCGAGCCGCGCATGGTCAGATTTTCTAGTCCCGTTTTCAGGTTCATGTGGTTCATGATCAAGGTCACCTTCGGAGAACACGATAGATGCACCGAAAAGGGGGCTGAGACTAGATATGTGGTCCGAGTGCTGATGGGCGATTTCCATTTATTGAATTTCGACAACGACATCGCCCTGTTGCGACTGAACGAGAGGGTGCCCCTGAGCGACGCCATTAGACCTATATGCCTGCCGTCCGTCAGAGGTTAACATTTTTAAATTCTTCCTCATAAATTGACTTTCTAACCCCTCACTTCGTAACAACACGCCAGACTCGTAGTGGAGATTTCAAACCGAATTTAACACTAGGTTTACGGACTTTCATTGTACAGTTTATTCTGTGGTTTCTAACAAAATGGATATCCGTTCGTTTGGATCTTAGAAATTAGGGGTTGGAAAATAAACGATTAGAGTAGCAAATAATGTTTAAGAAATTCTATATGTGTCAAACTGATGCGTTCCGTAAAGCTAGTGCTGAGAGGGATAAGTATTATTCAATTTCTCTGAATTCGAATGAAGTATTATCCTTCTGCTACCAACGATTCTAATTAAGACCAAACATAGGTGTAGAATATTCCTAGAATTTTTCTGTTTTCGCAATGAATTATTAACGACAAAGTAAAATTGTATCGATCATAGCCAAGAAAGGAATAAGCCAACGGGTTCACCTGTCTTAAATATTAACAATCCCTTTAACCAATTTCATCGTCTTCCATTAAAAAATATTCCCAAATTACAACCACGAACGTTACACGCTAAATGCAAAGCGAGAATTGAAAAAAAAAACTAATTATATTACTTGCTCCCCTTAACGTCATGTAACTTTCCTTAAGGTTTGTCGACGTAACTGCGCGATCCACCCGGTACATCGACGAACGGTCGGTAAAAGAATCGTTCGCCTTACCATCGTCCGCCGCTCGAAACTCCGAAAGTGTTTTTACAGGGCCACACGGGACACTCTAATTAAGCGTAAATACAGCAAAATGAAAGCGTATCGTACCAGAGGCGGTTGCATTGCATCGATCCCCGTCGTCTCTCGCTGCGCAATTCTGTCAATCAACCTGTTATTCGTTCCCCCGATTCGGTTGCACCATTGCAGCGATAAATTAGTCAGCATACGGGTACCGTCGCCGGGTGCAACCGCGCGATAACGGGTGATTTTTCCGTAAATCGGGGACTTCGGAGCTGCTCGGATCGAACCTCGATAACTGGCGATGCTACCGAATTGCGTAATCCGCGTCACCTGTTATTTACCGATGTCTTCTCAATGAAAAGCGCAAGTGGATCAGCCAGCGTAGCGCAGCGCGACGCGACGCGACACGACGCAGCGCAGAACGCTTTATCGCCGACGGATTCGGCCGTTCGTTCCTTTTTCGCTTCGACGAGCACATCTCGCGATTGCATACGGGTCGTTTAATGCTTTTAGATAACGAATACGTCGGCACGAAAGCAATCGCGTCCGGCTGGGGCACCTTGCACGAGGATGGAAAGCCTTCGTGCCTCTTGCAGGAAGTCGAGGTACCGGTCATGAGCCTCCAGGATTGCCGCAACACCAGCTACAGCCCCCGTATGATATCCGATAACATGATGTGCGCCGGATATCCCGATGGCAAAAAGGACTCCTGCCAAGTAACAGTTCATTTCGTCGTCTTTCTCTTTTAACCCTGTGTACTCCAAAAGCGTTTCGCTGGGAGTACTCGACATTTTCTCTGACTAACGAGGAATCGCACGTAAATTCAAGAACGAAATTGTTTCATTTCGATGTTTCACGTATCGATGCATCATACAAAGTTTAATATTGAATATTCAATTTTATAATTTCGCTGTGTCGAATCAATTAGCGACTAAGAGGCGCCTCTAGAGTGCAAAGGGGCAACACTGGAATAACCGTACCCGTGAAAATGGCGGATTTCGGTTTCCTTATTTCGTAGCTATTGATATCGTGAAAGCCTTAAATATCCGAAATGACTAAAAAAGTAAATAATTTCGCTTCAGTGCTGTAATCGATACGTAGAGAAACTGAAGGAAAATCTATTACTACAATTTTTAGGATTATATATTTTATTCGTGTTAATCGCTCGGTTATTCTAGAGTTAATCCTTCGAGTGTTGAATACTTTCAGCCGAAACGTTTCGTGCGAACGGAATATTTGTGTGCTTAGCTTACCGTCTGAAGATCAATGAACTAGGGTAATTTCGGGTGCGATGACACAAACTCATTTAGATTATCAAATATCTATATTTTCGTTTGTTTTTTAATGGTATACTGAATCTTGCACAGATGCCTACTTAAATATTCTTCGCGTGTGTAATTCAACCATAAAGCTTGTAAGCTTATGACTTTTTTGTTGGGCCGCATTCACAGCCATCTTGGGCTGTAGGTTGGACAAGCCTGGCCTACAGCTTCCTATCAGTATTTGCAAAAATCACCGTTGTGTCCTCGAACTGTAACAATTTCTTCCCGATTTCAGGGTGACAGCGGAGGGCCTCTAATAGCTGAACGCGAGGATAAGAAGTATGAGCTTATAGGCGTAGTGTCCTGGGGCAACGGCTGCGCCCGGCCAGGATATCCAGGTGTCTACACAAGAGTCACGCGATACATAGACTGGATCATTTACCATTCGCGGGAAGGATGTTTCTGTGAACATAACTGAAATCGATACTCGCATGTAAACTGGGGATCGCAATTTTGCTGGAATTCGTAAAGTGTTCAATCACTGGCGCCCGTGGGAAATTGCTTTGAAATGAACGCAGTCGGCGAAACTGTTTTTAACCAGACTCTAATTTTTATTCGCTTGAGATGTAGAAGTTGGAAGACTTTCATTTAGGTTTCGAAGAAATTGAAATTTTTTATCAGTGCTCCTTGAACGAATTAATTTCCTTCGATTTTCTGGATTAAGCTTAACAAACAAATGGCACCGTTCGATCATTCGTGTGACTAAATGCTCCGTGGAAAGTTGGAGACTTCGATACTCATTTCTGGCGAAACGCTGAAGATACTCTATTTTTTTGTGCACCTTACATTTTACGTCACTCCTCCCGAACACGATTAAAATTCATCTTTAATAATCAGAACGATGATATTTGCTTAATTAAAAGCAACACGAAACAAATCCTTGAAAGACACTATGTAAAGCTATTACGTGATTTGCTCAACATATAATTAAGACACCTACCGTATACTTTAAAAACTTTGCGAAGAATCTTTGTTAAAACAAGATAAATAATGAACAATAAAACGTTTAACAACATACATCACTCTATAGTTCTAATTTTCAAACCTTCCGTCAAAACATATCAAGCTTACATTCCCGACAGCAGCGAACGAATCGTTGTTTGCAAAGATCATTTTAAAATGCTTTCCTCCAAATAACAATAAAAAGTGCACAACGCTCTACCAAAAGTTCCTATTAACCTCCAAACGAGAAGCATGATAATTGAGAAATATCGAATGACCTAATCACGCTGTGAACGCGCTGTATGCGAACCCAGCGAACGGCACTCGGTTATTTCGGTTCCCGTCGATCTGTTAGTTACGCATAACGTGTTCCATTTCCGCGAGTTGGTCAATCGACTCGCCAACCTAAAATCGTCTAACAGTACCGTCGGAACCGGTTTCCTGTTACTTAAATTTCTAACAAAAATGGAACACACGCAAAGAACATCCTCGAATCGGCATCCTCGGAACTTCGAACTTGCGCGTGGGAAACGTCGCGCCGAAGAAAAAGCCTTGGGGTCCGTTGGATGCGGGCAACGACAGTCCCGCTATACAAACCAGTTGTTTAACCGAGACCAGTACCGTTTCGACAGTCGACAGAAAAGCCATGAAGCTGCAAGATTTCGTCAAGTACCTGGTTTGCATCGTTCCACTAACCACGGGATTAATTCGTTGCGACGAATCCACCTCACCGGTAAGGCTCGCTTTCCTTCGCTCGCTGTCCCCGGTTTCTAGTAAAATAGAAATTATCAAATAGCTTCGTAATTTCAGCGTTGACACTAGGGACGCGTCGATTTGACGCGTATTGAATTTTATAAAGATCGTTTGGCGAACGATCGAGTCGAT